TATGTAAAAAATTGCTTTTTCTAATCACTAAAGTTTACCTGTTTTAGAACAATGTGACTTCCTTTTTGTAAGTTTCAATCAACTACAGTTTCCTTGTAATATAATAGTCGAGAACACACATTGCCCTGCCCTATGTCCTCTTCAGATAAAGTGCTTGGTGCAGGAAAAAGACGAGTGTGTCTTTTACTGACGTGGATTCCACAGTCACAGCAGGGACACACTTGGTATATAGACACATCCATTGATATTTGTTCTTCCCTCCTTTCCCAAAGGAGCCAGTGCATCAATCAGATGAAAGAGGTGAAGGAGCAGTGTGAGGAGCGGATAGAAGAAGTCACCAAAAAGGGGAACGAAGCTGTAGCTTCCAGAGACTTGAGTGAGAAAAAAAACCAAGGCCAGCAGGTAACTCTGGGGTTTTTTTTTTTTTTTTTTGCCAAGGATTTCCAGAAGGTATTCCTATCCCTTCTTCAGGCATTTGTTTCTTATCGGCTGTCTGATTTACTCTCCGCTGCTCTCCCTTGTGGGTTTGGTTCCCTGAGACACAACAGCCTGGTCCCAGGGTGATGGGACTCTGACCTGGAAGGCTAGACTCTGGCCTCAGTCCCTGTGCTTGAGACTTCACCAAGATCACTTCAGCTGAAGCACATAGCCACTCTGGGAGAGAGTTGCTGTTGTTTTCTCGTTTCGAAGGTGCTGAGGCCCATGGAGATAGTTAAGTACTACGGTCAGGGTCATACCACCTGGTCAGTGATGGAGTGATCAGAGCCTATGCTGTGAGGCTACCTTCTTCGTAAAACACAGCCCATGAAACTGCTGCTTGAAGCCTTCTGGGAGATCTTTAGTTTTGTCTTTAAATATAGCAGCTTTATCAAGATATAATTTATATACTATACAGTTCACCCTATGTAATATTTATAATTCACTGGTTTTTATTATATTCACAGAATTGTACAACCATCATCACAATCAATTTTAGAACATTTTTATTACGCCCAAAGCAACTCCATACCTATTTGCTCACTCCCCAACCCCCAGAGCCCTAGACAGTCATTAATCTATTTTCTATCTCTGTAGATTTGCCTTATCAAATCATACAATATGTGGCCTTTTGTTGTCTGGCTTCTTTCACTTAGCATAATGCTTTTCAGGGTTTATCCATGTTGCATGTATGAAGACTTTATTCCTTTTTATGGCTGTATAATATTCCATTGCATGGCTGTTCCACATTTTGTTTATTCATTTGTTACTTGACAGATATTTATGAATAATGAATAATAGGCAATTATGAATAATGCTATGAACATTCATATGCACACTTTTGTGTGGACCTAAGTTTTCATTTCTCGTAGGTGTGTACCTAGGAGTGGAATTGCTGGGTCATATGGTATCTCTATACTTAATGTATTGAGAAACTGCCAAACTGTTTTCAAAAAGTGATCATACTCTTCTACATTCTCAACAGCTGTTTATGAGGGTTCCAATTTCTCCACATCCTTGCTAACTCTTATTATCTTTTTCATTATAGCCATCCTAATGGGTGTTAGGTGTCTCATTGTGCTTTGGATTTGCATTTCCCTAATAACTAATGATGTTGAACATCCTTTCGTGTGCTTTATTGGCCATTTGTATATTTTCTTTGGAGAAATGTCTATTTGGCTCCTTTGTCCATTTTTAAATTATTTTATTATTGAGTCGTAAATTCTTTATATAGTCATATATATAAAGATATTAGATGATTAACAAATATTTTTTCCCATTTTTTTTTCTTTCATTGTATTCATTAAAGAACAAGTTTTAAATTTTGATCAAGTCCATTTTATCAGTTTTCTCTTTTGTCACTTGTTCTTTTGGTGTTTTATTTGAAAAGGCTTTGCCTAACCAAGGTCATGAATATTTACTGTATTTTCTTCTAAGAGTTTTAAAGTTCTTAGCTCTTACATTTAGTACTATGATCAATTTTGAGTTAATTCTATTTTTGTATATGGTGTGGGGGTAGATGTCCAACTATTCTTTTGCATATGGATATTCAGTCTCTATCATTTATTGAAAACAAACAAACAGACCAAAACTATTCTTTTCTTCAATGAATTGTCTTGACATCCTTATCAAAAATCATTTTAAGCATGATGTTTTATTTCTGGGCTCTCAATTCTGTTCCATTGGTCTGTTTGTATGTCATACCACATAGTCTTGATGACTGTAGCTCTGTAGTAAGCTTTGAAATCAGAAAATGTGAGTGCTCCAACTTTGTTCTTTTTCAAGATTATTTTGGCTATTCTTTCCGTATGAATTTTAGGATCCACTTGTCAATTTCTTCAAATCCAGGTGAATTTCGACAGATTACAATTGAATCTGTAGATTAGTTTGGGAGTATTGCCATCTTAACATTAAGTCTTCTGTTCTAATGTGGGATGTTTTTCCCTTAAAGTCCTTTATAATTCTCTTTCCACAGTGTTTTGTAGTTTTCAGAAGCCTTGCACTTCTTTCATTCAGTTTATTTGTATTTCTTATGCTATTATAAATGGAATTGGTTTATTTTCAAGTGGTTTATTGCTAGGTGTACAGAAATACAATTCATTTTTAATTTTTATCCTGTATCTTGTAACCTTGCCGAACTTATTAGGTCCAATAATATTTTTCGTGATTCTTTTGTATCTCCTATATACTATATTATGTCATCTAAAAATAGATATGGTTTTACATTTTCCTTTCCAATTTGTATGTCTTTTATTTCTTTTACTTATCTTAGTACCCTGTCTAGAACCTCCAGTACGGTGTTAAATAGAAATGGAAAGAGCAGACATCGTTGTTTTTGAGCATAGGATAAAAGTATTAAGTCTTTCACCATTAAGTTTATTGTTAGCTGTATGTTTTTCATAGATGGACTTTATCAAGTTGAGGAAGTCCATTCTATTCTTAATTTGTTGAGTGCTTTTATCAAGAAGAGGGGTTGGATTTTGTCAAATTCTTTCTGTGCATCTATTGACATGATCGTGTGTTTTTTTTGTCCTTCATTCTCTTGATATATTACATGAATCAATTTTTGGATGTTTAACCTTGCATTTCTTGAACAAAGTTAGTCATGGTGTATAAAATCTCTTTGATTTGATTTGCTAGTATTTTGTTGAGGATTTTGGTGTCTATATTTATGATATTGGCTTATAGTTTTATTTTCTTGTAATGTCTTTGGCTGTGGTATAAGGGTAATATTAGCTCATAGAATGAGTTAGGGAGTATTCCTTCATCTTCTTTTTTTTTTTTTTGCAAGAGTCTGTGAAGATTTGGTATTGATTCAACTTTAAATGTTTGGTAGAATTCACTCGTGACACTTTGCGGGTCCAGGCTTTTTTGGAGGAGAAAATTTTAAATTACTGAGTCAATATTTATAAAGTCTACTCAAATTTTTCTGCTTCTTCTTGAGTCAGTTTTGGTAGTTTATGTCTTTCTAGGAACTTGTCTATTTCATCGAAGTTAAACCTGTTGGCAAACAGTTGTTCGTAGTATTCCCTTCTGTATAATACTACTTTTTTATTTGTATGAGGTTGGTAGTGCTGTTCCCTTTCATTTTCGATTTTAGTAATTTGAGTCTATACTTTTTTCTCAGTTAATCTGGCTAAGGGATTGTCTATTTTGTTCATCTTTTCAAAGAAGTAACTTAGTTTCATTGGTTTTTCTCTATTCTTTTTTTTTATTCTTTATGCCATTAATTCCTTCTCTAATCTTTATGATGTCCTTGATTTGGGTTCAGTTTGCTCTTCTTTTTCTAATATCTTTAGGTGGAAGATCATGTTATTGCTTTGAGATCTTTGTGTTTTTGAATATAGGTCTGTAAATTTCCCTCTAAGCATCCTTTAGCTGCCTCCTATAAGTTTGGTTTGTTGTGTTTCTTTGTTTTAATTTTTCTCAGGATACTTTCTAATTTGCCTTCTGATTTCAGTGACCCATTGGTTATTTTGAAAGTATGTTGCCTAATTTCATTCTCAAATTTCATTCTGCTACTGACTAATAATGTCATTCTACTGTGACTGGAAAACATATTTTGTATGATTTCAGTCATTTTAAATTTGTTGAGACTTGTTTTGTGGCCTAGCATCTGTTTGTCCTGGAGAATATTCAATGTCCACTTGAGAAGAATGTGTATTTTGCTCTTGTTGAGTAGAGCGAATCAATGTCTGTTCAGTTTAGTTGATTTGTAGTGTTGTTAAGATTTTCTTTTTCCTTGTTGTTCTTTTGCTTGCTTGTTAATCCATTACTGAAAGTACTTTCTGGGAGATCTTGACTCAAACTCAGATCTTCTGATTTATGTCAGGTGATAAGGCACAACTAGGGCAGATTGTGGCATTTCTCAGGGTTTCAATGTTCTCATTTGTCAGAAGGCTGTGGTGGTCCATTGCATTGCTCGGGGTTGTTGGAAGGTTTCTGATCATGGAGCCCCTGGCCTGGCCATCCTGTGCTCCTGTTTCAGCTCCAGGCTCCCAGTGAACCTAAGTTGAAGTCACAGGAAGCAGCATTGTCCCAGTCAGAGGAGCCACAAGCAAAAGCAAACATACCCAGTAATGGCGAGCCTCAGACACCAGTCCCCAGTTCTGAGACCGTTTTGGATTTGAAAAGACAGGTTGAGAAAGGTAAGTGAAGCTTGATAATTACACATTTAAACCCTCTTCAGAGCCCCATTCAAATAAAAAACATAGTGGCAGTTCATGCCCTCTACTCCGTACAAATACTTGGAGGGCAGAGTGCGCTGCTGGAGGCAGTCGGTGAACCTGGTAATGAGGCTACAGGTGGCAGGTGAGTGTCTCTCTGGGCACCTGGAACTGGGGCCACAGGGCTTTTTCTGTCTTACTGGTCACATCCCTGTAAACTAAGTGCCTTGTTCTTTGGTAGCTGTGTAAAGAAAGGTCCAAGCTGTGCCTTTATCTGGGCATTGGTGGGACTGTGGGATTTAGGAGAGGTGCCCGAGTCCTGGGCGCTGTCAGTGGCTCCCAAGAATTTGTCTCAAACAGATATGATGATCAGATAACCTCAGCAATATACCCTTTTCTCCTTGTATGTTGTCTCTGTAATTATGATAACTCTGTCTAGATTTTTTTTTCTAACCACTTTTCTCCTCCTTGTGGTTCTGAAGATGAACTGCAGGCATAGAGAAGACTAGAGTCTTCTGCTGATGTCACAAAATAAATTACCCCGCTGTCCCACCCGTGCACAGTCCTTGAGAAGGCTCTGGGAGTTGAGCGGTATTAGGATTTTTGTTTTTGTTTTAATGAAATTAAATGCTGATGGGGTCACAGCTAACTCTGTTCTATGCACAGAGGAAACCAGTGACATTCAGGTCCTCAGTGAGGGAGAGCTTCGGAGGGACAGCCTGGGGCTGCCACCAGCGCCAGACCAAGAACAGGCTGTGGAAGAAGATAGACATGCAGGTGGAAAAGGCATGGGAGATGCTGGTGGCCTTGGCCTGACCCCACAGGTGCCAGCTGCCCTCGTGGTGAGCCATGGAAATCAGAATGCGGAGGACCTTGAGCAAGACCAGCTTGTCATCCGGGATGGGCAGGAGGAGGAACAGGATGCTGACAAACAAGGTGAGCGAGAGGGTCTGGGGGCTGCCTTCCCCTAGTCTCCCTCCTGATGTGGGACGGGTTCGCCCTGAAGTTTACCAAACAGCAGTTCACAATCTGGTGGTTCATTTTGTTTGTTCCTTCATTTAATATCCATTATCAAGTAGGAGGCAGGAGAGAAGAGCAGTGCACTCACCAGCACCTGGGGGTTTCAGAAATAATATTCACAGGGTCGAGCGGGCTTTTCAGGTGGCAGACCTTGATGGGTGCTTAGATCGGGTAAAGGTGGGCCTCCTGGCAGGCAGACAATGTGCCTTGTCTTTGTCTCTCCACTTCCTCACAGTGTCACCAGTCAGTGCCTGGTGACTGGAGGAAGGAAGGATTGGACAGATGGAGGTTTGTGCATATTTGAGTGTTGCAGAAAAAGGACATGTGAATCCCACCTTCCTGGTTTGGTTGACATTTTTCTTTTTTAAAGGAAAATATGGGAAACTGAGATCAACAGAATATTATGGGATGTATTCTGGTTTCTTAAAGATGTGAAAAGTTTCAATCCTAGCCGAGCCAGGAGCACTTATGGGGACACCTGTGTTCTGGGATGACCAGTAACAGAAATTGGGGACTGTGCTTATTTGCAGAAGTTATCTGGATTCCATTTAAATATAATTTTCATTCAAGTTTCTTCTTCTGAAGAATGTGTTCTCACAAGTTCTCAGTTCAACAATTAAAGAAAAAAAAAAAAAGGGAACCTCAGTGGCTGATCCAGTGGCACTCAGGTTTCAGACCACTTAGCAGGTCACAAAGTGTAAAAGCTCCTGAGGGGCCTGTGGCCCTGCAGGGCGTGAGGGATACACCTCGTTCTAGGTGTGGCTGTAATGATCTACTTTGCAGAATAAAATACAGGGCACACAAGCCTGTGCTTCATTTCCAGTTCGGGCAGTGTGTGCAGAGAAATATCACTGGATCTGACTTTTCCAGGCATGCTTTAAAAAAGATTTTGTTTACTTACGTGGAGACATATATAAAATGTTCACATTAAACCTTGTGAATATGTCTGTCGAATGCATTTTGTCCTGATCTTTTCTGGTTTGTTCTCTTCAGGGATGATTGTAGTGATGAATGATCTAATTCTGTATGTATGATGGAAAATTTTACCCTTTGGCTCACAATAGCCACTTCATGACCTTTTGGAGCAATGAGACATCCTCAAGAGATGCTGTCGTTAACTAGAAACCTGTTGTTTCCAAAAGCAGTGGTGTTTGCTTTTAACCTTGACTGTCTCTCTTAAAAACTGGGACTTTGGTTTAGCTAGCTTGCTAGTTACATAATTTTATATAGATTTAGAGTCGAAGTGGATGGACACAGAGAACTCCTATTTGGTATGTGTACTGGAAGCAAGCACACAATACCTGTCATTTCCTAAGATGCAGCAAAAAGATCTGACTGTGAAACCAGGATTGAGATAATCCCGGTACCTGGGCTCTGGTGTTCCTGTGGCATCAAGAGAGAAATGATGTAGCTTATGTTTGATGTGTCTGTACTAATTTTACAGAGAGAAACCAGAAACTGGGAGGAGACGATGAGTACAACATGGATGAAAATGAGGCAGAATCTGAGACAGACAAGCAGGCAGCCCTTGCAGGGAATGACAGAAATGTAAATGGTAATAACTGGTGGGGTCACCTCATTCTAGGTGCAGTTGTAACAATCTACTTTGTGTTCTTTCATTTTTGGAGTGACCGTACAGTGAATCCCAGCAGAAACATTATAAATGGTCTGTCATTTGAAGGACATTTTCTTTTCTTCAGAAGCCTTTGAGCACAGGGACAGTGGAGGGAGGTACAGGGTTTAAGTGCCCAAGATGAAGTCTGGGTGTTCAGTGGGGCTCAAGCCCTCAGGAATCAGTTGGTGCATTTGTCTTTGGTGACATTTAGGGATTTCCTTAACAAAATGGTCTGTCAGTTCACCACTTGATCATTTTACAGCAGGGGTTCCCAACCCGTGAGTTGTGGAGCAGTACTGGTCCATGGCCTCTTAGGAACTGGGCCACACAGCAAGAGGTGAGTGGCGGGCGAGCCAGCAAAGTTTCATCTGCATTTGCAGCCACTCCCCAGCGCTAGCATCACCGCCTCAGCTCCACCTCAGATCATCAGGCATGAGATTCTCATCGGAGCACCAGTCCCTGGTGCCAAAAAGGTTGGGGACTGCTGCTCTACAGCACTTATGAAAAGCACCACTATAAGGCAGCTTTTTATAGTAGCATTTTGTATTGTTGTTATTTTGGATTTTGAAGAGTCCAGGCCAATGAGTGTATCAGATTCTGGCTTTGTGTTTCCTTGTGATTAGATTCAGGTTGGACATTTTTGTAGCTGTGGTTGTGTTCTTCTTGCTGCACAGCAGGAAGCACATAACGTCTGGCATATTTTGTGATGTGAGCAGCAGTTGATGCTAAGTGCCTTTATTAATTCATTGGTGATATTCTAATCCAGCCTTTTCTATTTCATTTGTTAATCGGAGTATTTTTATAGACAAGTCAGTGATTTTCTTTTAGTGTAGGCAGGATAAATGCTTAATTATTTACTTCTCACAATAATGAATTGTCATCTTCTGAAGGTGACAATTTAAAAAATATAACTATAAACATAGATTTAAACATTTGATGGGTTTCACTCAGTTGTATTTATCCTTTTTGAAGTTCACGTTGTCCCATCTTTGGCCAGTGGGGCCTCCCCCGCCCCCTTCCTCTTTTATCTGAACCTTCAGATTCCTTTGTTTCTTGTCCCTGTCCTGCTTGGCTGCTGCTTCACTCTACACTCAGCGCTCTGAGTCTCTCCATGGGCCGTTCCTGGGAAGGAGCTCTCGAAAGGAGCCCTGGCAAATCAGTTTTAGAAGTCCATGGGGCTCAGCCTCCACCTGCCCCCTGGTCCTCACCATGGTCACCTTGTGGGGCACCTGCTATGGTTGCAGCAGAAACTCCCTCACTTCCAGCAGTTCACCCACTGCTGGAACTCTCTGGTACTCTCTGGTGCAAATCTCTTGGCTGTGTGGGGTTCTCCATCAGATGCTCTTGTATAGGGACTGCAGGATTCTTTGTCATCTAGTCTTGTAAATGTCTATGGTTTTTGAGTTTTTTAATTCAGTTGCTTTATGTAGGGACTCTGAGAGGTTCAAAAACTATGCTACTGTTGCCACCATCTTTCCAGAATCCTCTTCTGCTTTTATGTTTTATTTTCCTCTCGATTCATTTCAGATGTATTCAGGTATATGGAACTAGCTATAGGTACAGTTTTCTTAAGGGCTGTCCAGTTGGCTCAACACCATTCAAAGCCAGTAATTTCATGCTACCTTCATCAAATAGTAAATTTCCACATGTACTTGGGTCTAATTTAGGGGTTGTTCCTGTTCCATTGGTTTCTCTGTTTATTCACACTGTACCACACTGTCTAGCAGCCTTTTTTATTTTAAATATCTGGCAAGGCCAGTCCCTCTGGAAGAAAATCTCAGCCAATATCTTTGAATAATGCTTCTTCCCTTTTTGATTCCTTCTTGAACTCAGAAGTGTTAGATCTCATTCTATTCATATTTCTTATCCTTTTTCATATTTTTCATTTTTGCCTCTCATCTACATTCAAAATAATTTCCTCAGAAATATCTTCTAGTTCAAAGTTTTCTCTCACCTCTGCCTTACCTATTCTTTAATTCATACTTTGTTTTTAATCTTAATTATTTTTGTATTTCTAGACTTTCTGCTTGGCCATTCTTTGGGCCATTATTCCTTGCTCATGCTTAGACATCTTTTATTTCTTAAAATATATCACACGGAGTTGTTTTATATTCCACTTCTTCCAGTTGTTTCCTTGTGTTTTGTGCTTTTCAACTGTGAACTGTTTTCTGGGAACTTAATCTGTGGGAAGTCTTTGGGGACTGAGTTACAGGTGTATTCCACTGAAATAGGTAGTTTGCTTCTACCAATCTCAAGGCAGGCACCACAAACTCACAGCATCTTTAATAAATTCTCTTCTTTAAGTTTTTTTTGGATCACACAGGAAATGAGTTAAGATTATATACCTGGCATGGTCATCTCATGTGGGTAAGAATCCCCTCCATTCACACACTAGGTTTTCTTGCTTATTTTTATTACAAGTCAGTTTCTCATTACCTTTAAACCAAGGATGTGAGCCTTTGGGGTTTCAGCTTTGTATAGGGGTCCCCTTCATGACTCCTCACCTCGAGTGAAGCCCTAGTCTTTTTGGTTTTTGTACTCCTGTACCTTTTGAAACCTAGTGTCTTCAGGCTTCAGGAGAAGTCCTCAGGGGAGAAGCTCGCTTTGATACTTCATTACGTGTAGGAGTTCTTACTTCCACTTCATTTTTGGCCTCACCGAGTCCTTTTATTACCATTATAGGCAATGCATTTTTCTTAACTTTTTTCTTAAAATTCTTTTAACTTTCCATTTAAAAATAATTTAGATTTTTAGAAAATAATAAAAGGAATTTCCATTGTATCCTTCATCCAGGTTCCCCAAAGGTGAACATCTTATGTGACCACAGTACAATGATCAAAATGAAGAAATTAATATTGATACAATGCTATTGTCTGACCAGTAGACATTATTCAAATTTAGTGAATTGTCCAACAAATACCTTTTCTGGTCCGGGATCATTATTACATTAATTGTTATGCCTTTTAACAATTTAACCTGGAGCCATTTGTCATTATCATTTATGACATTGATATTTTTAAGTGTTCTGGCCAGTTATTTGGTAGAAAGTGTTTGATTCAAAAGTGCATTCTTAAAACATATATTTTATCCCCATGTCAGCTATTACATTTGGCAGAGCTGTTTGAGGGTTTTAGAAATGGGAGTCCTGACATGATTTTTGACATATTTCCAGGCTATTTAGGTAATATTTTTTAAAATGTAGATTCACACATTAGTGTCAGAATTTTAAGCAAATACAAGGTCTCCATTTTTTTGTTCATCGACTCCACTTATTTGTGTTGTCATATCTCAATTCTTGAATAGCATGTTTTCAGATGTGGTTAGAGTATTACATCTCTTTACCTTTCCTTTAATTCAGCGTCCCCACCCTTTTCGGCATCAGGGACCGGTGCTTCTATGAGAATCTAACACCTGATGATCTGAGGTGGAGCTGAGGCGGTGATGCTAGCATTGGGGAGCGGCTGCAAATACTGATGAAGCTTTGCTCGCTTGCCTCCTGCTGTGTAGCCCGGTTCCTAACAGGCCATGGACCAGTACCAGTCTGCGGCCCAGGGTTTGGGGACCCCTGTTTTAAATGAGGCCAGTGTCCTATTAATTGTTCAGCTTTGCAGTGAAGGCGTGTGATCTTTCATCCCTTACACCCAAGTGTCTTTCTAAGGATTTGATATTGTGCAAGGCTTTAAAAAAAGTGAGGAAGTAGGCAAAGTAGGATAAATGCTGTCAGCTCTTGTAAGAAATAGTTTTAAGATGAAATGTCAACATAATTTTAAGATTATGTCATTGAAATAAACAGTTTAAGACCCTGCTTGCTCCAGGAACATTAGAAGAAAAAAGGCATTAACTCCAACTTTTTTAGAGAACTTTTAAAAGATAGTAGTACTTTATGGCAGTAATTTAATTAATAAAATCATTAACCATTTAATGTAGTTGTAAATCAGATATTGATTTTAGGTCTTATTTGTTATGTGTCTTTTTATGTCATCTGTGTGTCCGAGAACAGAGTAAGAATGGTGGAAGCCACAATCAATTTAAGCTCTATCAAGGAAGCACTTAGCAAGAGCTGACCAAAGCTGCAAGTGGCTCTCAGGAGGCAGTGTGCTTCCTGATGGAAGTGCAGTAAACAGGGATTCACACAGCATGCAGGGCTGTGATAGTATCAAAAATTTTCTCAGAGTGCATTTTATATTATCCATTTTATAGAACATGGGGCATTATTTCACTGTTTCAAACAGTTATGGAGTTTTCAGATGTTTTAGCTTTGTTTCATGGCACCCTGTTGGCCATACACATGGTCTCTTGGTATCCTGTCCTTGGTTAGGAATGCAATTCTCCATTATAATGTCGCGATGGGAGATAAAGTCCTCTTTATGAGAGTTTCTAGACAATGTCAAGTGGGACCTGCCTGGGCTGACTTCTTAAAATGTTCGATACAAGAATATTATGGGGTTTTTTTTTCCCCCCTTTTTAGATCTTAATGTGGAAAATCAGAAAAGAGACATGATAAACTTACTTGATCAACGTGAAAAGAGGAATCACACACTCTGAATCAAACTGGAATCACATACTTCGTGTCAGGATTCAACAGATCACTACAAAATATTCACGAGGAGTTGAATACTGTGAAATGTACTAAGTAAAAAATATATATCTAAAGATGATTATTGTGGAATTTTAGTATGTACTCTACGTAGGAAAATGAGATTGTCTTTTAGATGGTTTTTTGGGGGTACTTTTGAAGCGTCTGTATTAAAGATGTTAAAATTTGTTGGTTAATAGGTATTTCATGAAAAGATCAACAGCAAAAGTAGAACACAAGTTCTCCTTCAAGCATAGCGACAGTGGCACTTATTCTACAGTCTGACTTTGTTTAAAACAAAAGCCTGTAGGAAGAATCCACCTTCTGACATGAAGGAGACCCGCCGCACTTAAGAGAACTCCTTTTTCTCAGTTCCTTCTGGAGTCATTCTCTTCTCCACATGCTGTGGCGAGTGATGGTAGCAACCATTATTTCTGTTCTCCCTCGTCAGCACTGAAGGATTACTGCCCTCATGCGCTCTCTTCCAGTTATGACACTCAAAGGGCCTACAGCACCGACTGTTAGCACAAACACCACTAGTAAGTTTTAAGTGAGTCTAAATACAAAGGTGTTTTGTGGGAGAATTTTCAAGGAGACTACTTGTATAATAGCCCTTGTCATTAATGTTAAGTGACTTGTAATTTGAACACTTGTGACCTATACTTACGTTGCTAATATGTGTGGGAAATGCAAAATCTTCTGTAATAAGCCCATGTTTCCAAGAAAAGCCACAAGTGGATTCGGCTTGATACAAGGCCAGAGCAGAGGTGACCCCCCAGGTGCCTGCAGCAGAGCAGTGAGGGCAGCACAGCACTGTGGGGTAGGTCTCTTGTGGAGAAACTGCCTACTTCATTAGAGGAAAAGAAGAGAAAATTGATGTTGAAGGATGTTACAAGTTGGAAAAGTTCAGAAAGGCGTGAAAAATGGCAACAGTGTTTTGTCACAGTGGTATGTCGCTTGTGATAAATGACTATCAAAACTGATTTCACTTGTGGTAAATGACTATCAAAACTGATTTAAAAATGAAAAGTTAAATTGGAAAATGATTAATCATAATTTACATTGGTAAGCGATGTTAGGTTTGATTTGAGTTGGTTGCTACTGTTTCAGGTAAGTAGGCTTGTCATTTGCAAATGACAGGCAGTCACACTAATGACTTTCAGCGAGGCTCTCTAAAGGGTAAGTGGGTGGTGATGCTTATGAAAACATATTTTGAGTTAGAGAATTTGAGATGCAGGCTCCTCAGGTCATCTGGTAGAACTCTCGTTTCAGAGAGAAAACGGGGGCCCAGAGAAGTTAAGGAGCTGAAGCCTGGCCTCACACCCACTGTGGAGTTGCTGTATATCCCTGGCAGTCACTGGAGGCAGGACCTGGTTTGCATTCAGGTTAAGATCACCAACTTGATTGTTACTCATGTATGTTTATCTTTTTACCTAATCACTAAGATTAAATTTTTCACTCAGAAGAGAGCATAAAATTAAAGCATAAGATTTATCTAATTCCTTGTCCAACCTCTCTCAGTCTTAGGGTTGATATTTTCCCTTGCTTTCTCAGATAATAAATAAAGCCTCGGTTCATCTCATGTTTAATCAGTGTGCAGAGAGTTGCTGAGAAATGAAATACTCTCTGTTTAGCTTTTAAAACTGTGCCTTCAGTTTTCCCTTTATCCCCCATTTGCTCGCTAAAGAAACAGCTTTTAGATCGTGGAGATGGGATATCAATATAATTTAAAACCATGATGATTTCATCTTCATTTGCAGAGGCATCAAAAGGCCATTTGTTCAGGAGGTGTATACTTTGAGCTATTTCTCCAGGCAGTCATGCTTTATTACCACTGGCTCCTTTGGAATCACAGGCACCTATTCTGAGGCAACAATTCAGAGGTATCGTGGCTGTTTAAAAAAACAACCTGTGTAATGAGCATCAAGTAGATATCAAACCTCTGACCTTTATCTTTTGGTGTCCAAAATTAAATCAGCAGTTATTTCAGTTTTTAAGAGATGTAAACTCTAATTCACTTTCTCAAGTGTACAGAGGAGTGATGAATCATTTGATCTTTTCTCCTGAAGATAAGACTAGGTGGAGGTTCCCTAAGCAATGTTGGATTAGATTTCCTGAGTAACTATGGCTCATAATGCATGTGTGATGAAACTTGAGAAATAAACTATTATTTGTTTAGTATGCTGTCATTAAATGACTAGATTGATAATTAGCATGATTGTTTTAATTGGTAATAGCTGGTTATCCATTTATGATGGTGGAAGAGAATTGTGAATTTACGTCAAGGTCCAGGGGATCAGTCTACTCACATTGTTTTAGCCTAAAAGATTCTTAATTATAAATAATTATAGTTTGCGGGACACTGAACAACTTCTAACAGTTGCCTGAAATGAATTTTAGGAAAAATATATTTAAAATAGGTTCCATTAACTGTGGATTAATTTTTTTCATATGGTTAGACTTTGAAAATGTTCATTAGTGTCAGAAAGATGGCAAAATAGTTTGTGTGTGTAAATGTTTGTGTGCTATCAGCTCAGGGCAACACTTTCTTAAAATGTACTAAGCCACTGTCCCTTAAAAACTGTTTTGTAAAATTGTGATAATGTATACACTGAATGGTTACTTAAAGTATCTTCCCATGTACTTAAAACTAAGAGGCTTTTATCCTTGGTAGTGTGCAGCATTGGGAAAATCAAATGACTTTAAATAGTCTCATCTTTAAACTATACATGTAAACTTAAGATAATGAGTTTTACAAACCAAGGCCCTAACTAGTTGAGACAAATGTTTATCTTTACTCCTTAGAATAAAATTATACCTTGTCCTGAGTTGAGTGACATAGACCATACCTTGCTTATACAACTTTATACTCCTACAGAGATTCTAGTACTGTGATGGGTGCTTAGTGAATACTTGACTGTTAAGTCCAAATAAATGATTGTGATTGATTAGAGATGTGGTCCTAGATAACCTCATTTTCCATATAACTGAAGCTTGCCCTTTAGAACCTTTATAAGCAAATTTAGATGAACAAATGCCTTTTGAATGAAGGGTAAATACACGGGAATTAGGATGAAACCCACTTAGCCTTAAGAGGTAAGCCAGAGTCTTTGTGAAGGTGTTCCTGATGTTAGCTTGCTTTTCACTAATTTGCTTCTCTCAAGGCTGTAGTGAAATGACAGAAATGGAACCTCCAGGGTGATGTACCATGTATGCCTTTATCCAGAACTCATATGCTCATATATAAGGGTTCACCTAAATGTTTAACTCTCCCAAAAAGCTGCTGCATGACAATGTTTAACATTTGAGTATCATTTTAAAGCGTAGTTCTGTGACCTTAACCAGTGGCCTACAATTGCCAGTTCTTTTCCCATAAAGGACTATCTTGCTCTGGGTTTTTGAGATCGGCTCAAATTATTCTGGAAGTCAATGGTGACATGTCTGTGATCAACACAAAGCACCCCACTTTGCTTTAAGCTTGGCTTAATGTATGAATTGTAAACAGAAGGTTCCCAGTACTGCATCTGTTTCTTTGCAATAGTTTAAAATTCAGAGTTGTTGTACAATAACTTTACATGATCTTCCAAAAGTGGATACATTCTTTTTAAATGGAAGGAATGAAAAGCAATATTAACATAGGACTACAGAAAAAAATCTTACAATGTAAATGAATGCATACGTGGACTGGTTCAAAATCTCAGGTCATTATATCTCTTCAAAAGCAAATTTTGAAAACACCTTTGGCAGCTGTAGAACAACAAAAACATTCAGTCATCCAGTTTTATTTAATGGTTCCTTATTGCAAAAGCAACAGTTCTGGTTCCCTACTTTTATTTGGAAGTATTTGATATACCAACTTGTACTTAGACTGATTTGCAATTTTCAGACAAATCAACCAATTTCATCAGCTTTGGCAAACTGTTTAGGGAGCGGCAAGGCCACCTTCAATACCTTCTGTACTTCCAGCCTTCCTGTGTTGTCACCTTCAAGTGTTTCTACTACTAAAGTTAGCCTACCTACTGTCTTAGGGGCCTTGTTTTCCCCAGGTTAGCAGCAATGCCATCAGGATGTCTTTTACATCTTAAGCAGGTTCTGGAAAGATGAAGTCCCTTTTCTCAAGTTTATACTACAGTTGGGAAGATAGAAACAACTACTTAAATTACAACAAACTAAAAGGTAGGTAGATAGGCTGATATGAGCCGGAGGGAGAGGACAGTGAAGGGTTAACAGGCCCTGAGACCAGCCCACAGAAGAAAATACACAACCAGGGGTCTAACAGAATTGTAGAGTCTCCCTCATTCCCCCAAGGTCAGAAGCCAGATAGGCAAAAAATCCTAGTAGTGCCTGGCTCTCCCTTTTCCTGCCCTTCTCCCAGTCAGTTAACTGCAAATGACCATTATACAGCCTTATTCCGGGGGCACTCAACTGGTATGGGCAAAATTACTTAACTGGGCATGTGCCTACTCAAAATTCCCACGGTGCAGGTGTATGACTTCCCATCTATGGGTGCACACTGCGCAGGACCCAGCTTGTAAGGTCTAAGGGAGGAACAGAAAATTCGCACCATTTGAGGTAGTATGGACAGAGGAAAAACAAAGAAACCTTATGGCCCATATAAACCCTGACCCTCAACTTCTCGGGGCCCTCAATCCTCTATTGAGGTGCCCACTTGGACTTTCTTCCAAGTGTACTTCACTCTGGCTACTTAATAAAATCACTTGTTTGCTACTTTTCGTCAGCTCTTTCTTCTGAGTGTTGGACCTCCATGTAAATCTTTCGTGGGGGACCCAAGGACTGAGCTCCTGACTCCCTACAGTGCTGCCACCTGATTGCTGGTATCAAACGTACCAGGTACTTTTAGGGGCTTGGCTTAAACAATCTTTTAAAAGTGCCAAAGGTAACAGTTAAAGGATGTTTTTTAAAAACTATATTCTTATGGATATATAATTTAAGATGTCATTACACAAAATCACAATCCCATGTAATTTAGCCTCCCTAAATAGCTTAGAGGTCCCCCCAAATCCCTTTTAAATGTATTTTGCCAAAATCCCATACAAGTGTTTAATAAATCCCTTGATTTAAAACTTCTTTTGGATGATTTGTTTGAATTACTCAAATGTTAGAGTAAACACCTTCAGTTCTTAACATGTGTCAACAAAGTACTGTTTTTCATATGCAGTAGTGCATTTTTGTCAAGAAATTTATTAACCTTTACAAACACTATTTTCACTCAATCTTATTCATAAAAAATGATTTATGATTAAATCTGTAATAAAACCATATAACACTCATCAATGCATTCAACAAGACCAGTTTCATCCATGGACATAATAAACCACTTTAAAACAGCAGTTTTCATTCATGTCGCTGTCAAATTAAAAGTATTCCTTATAATGGGTTGTTATCCAAGAAATCCATTTCACTTCATGTTATGTGGTAAGACTGATGGATGGATAGAATCTGAAATTCGATTTTACCCTTTTATGGTCACCCTTCAGTCTCAAACAAGTTTCACAACAGGAAAGTACTTGTGAGCAGAGAAATCAAATTCGGGAGGTACCTATAGAGAAAATCAGAAAAATCAATGTATCCAACAAATATGTGGACATAAAGATAATTTTTATTTTAGAATTTTATATTTTTAAAGACAAGGCAGCACAGAAATAAAAACTGGTTTAATGACAAAACCATTAAGTTAGGAACTAACCTGGAGGGGAAAAAATTAGCTTATCTCTGGATTTATGAAGTTCATTAGAAAACATTCTGACCATCTGTTTTTTACCTTCAGAGTACAGTTAACACAGGAAAATAGACTTTAATTACAGGAAAAGATCATGGGTCAGCAAGTTTTTTTACTTCCAGTCACTGATAGTACTGACCAATGAAATGAGAGTCACTGGTAAAAAGCAGGGCAGGAGATAAGATAGAAAAACAATGGGAGTGAACAAATAAAGATACATACAATGGGCATATGCCACCAGAAACGCCTCAGCAGTTGGCTTCCAACCAATGCAGAACTTCTGTGTCAAATGTTTATATAGCACTGATGATATAACATTACCAGGGAAGCTCAAGGAATGTTTCATCTCCCGAACCATTAAAAATGTCTTAAAATTACTGAAGCATTCACCTTTCTAAAGGCAGATGACTTTTTAAATATCTCTCCCATAAATGTATTTATACACATTTTTTTGTTATCCCAAGTCAATCAGTAATTTACACAAGAGGATGGAGGGGAACAGAAGGGCAGACTTTTGAAATTTTTAGTTGACAAAATGTATGTCATGTCTCAAGGCAAAATGGCAAGCTCTAGTTAATTTCTGCTGCTCAACCTCTTTTAGGGTGATCATTTTTATGTGTTCAAAATTTTTGTAATTATACTTATACATCTTATTGAAAAAAAGTGAAGTTTTACAATAATTTTGGACCATTTATTTTCCCCACAATGTACTTACCTTAGATTCCTTTTTGTGTCCTCCTGCCAATAATTTCATAACCACAAAGTTGGGTTTGGCAACCTTTAAAATTCTATTGACCTAAACAATGAGCAACATTTAGCTATCAAACATACATAAAATTGAATCAAAATGTCATTATTATGGATACTAATAGGAACTTTGCACATTTTAAGGTGATTTTTTTTTAAGGCGAATAAAAAATATGAACAAATATCGTACTTCTTTCAGTAACAAAGAACTCTATTTTAGTCGACCCTGAAAATTTGAAAGGGTTATGGTATCTCGCTCTCATACAAACAAAACATGAGCCTGCAAAGTCCTGCAAAGGCAGCACTGTAAGAGAGTATTTGGGGCATGGACTCTGGAGTTGGTGTCTGCTTTCAAATTTCAGCTTTGCCACTTAACTACCTCTGAAACCTCTGGCAAGTTCTCTAACCTCTCTGTTCCTCAGTTTCTTCATCCGTAAAAATGGAGATAATTTTAACCTACCCCACAAGGATTTGTTGTGAGGAATAAATGAGTTCATATATGTTGGGCTAAGAACCAGGCCTGGCAGGTAGTAGGATCCTTTAAGTGTTAACTGTTGTTATTTCTGACTACCACTTGTCTAAAAGGCTTCACTTGAACACACGAATAATGGAGCACTGCATTTCTCTTTAAGAGGGGAGTAATGTGCAATTTGCAGTAAGAAAGTTCCTAGTGTTATTTTCTTGCTGACCTCTCTCTGAAAAACATACCAAGTTCATGAACCATTCCTCCTCGACTATGATCACACATCCACCCACCTAGATGGCAGCTCCACCTGGGCATCCAATAGGCATGTTCAAAACTGAGCTCTGACCTTCCCAGCCCTGCCTCTCTACTGGCAGTTTTCCCCACATGACTCAATCCATCCTGGTGCTCAGGCCAAAAACTCTGAAATCATATTTGACTCCTTTTACCCAAAAGCCAATCCATCCATCAACCCTGTTGGCTTGACCTTAAAATATACAGAGAACATGATGACTTCTGATCACTTCTACTGTCACCAACTCTCATCTGGGTTACTATGGCCTACTAAATGGTTCTCATGCTTCTACCCTTAGCCCCGCCACAGTCTATTTTTAGCAAACATCCCTCTAACATCTCTAACATCCCTCACTTATGCAACAGTACTCCAAGAAACTATCATGAGACAGTTAACTGAAGCAAGTACTATTTTACTATCAACGTCCATGATAACATTGAGTTGTGCTCTGAGAAAAATAATGGCATTGAGTTGTGCTCTGAGAAAAATTTTTAGCAAAGTGGCCAGAATGGTCTTTTAGAATATAGATCTGGTCACTCTACTCAAAACTCTCCAGGAGCTCACCCTTTTCCATCCCATTCCAGCATACTAGTCCTTAGCTGTTCTTTACTCCAGGCACACTCCTGCCTCGGCACCTTTACACATGTGCATCCCATACCCTAGGAGGCTCCATCCATGGACGGCCACTTGACTTCCTTCTTCACTTTCCCAGATTTGCTCAAAGGCCACTTTATTACAAATGCCTAATCCTTTCTACCTCTCCATCTCCTGTAGCAGCCACTATCCCCATTCCCAGTTTGATAGTTCTTCATAATACTTGTGATCTTCTAATATATTATTTTATTTTTACCTATCTATTCATTCATTTACTTATCACTGCAAGCTACCACTCTCCCCAACCCTTCAGGAGGGCTGGGATTTGTTTTCACTGCTGGAATCTACCACAGTGTTGAAAGCATAGTAGGCACTCAACAAATATTTGTTGAATAAATGAAGTCCACTAAAAGAAACATGCCACTTAGAATAAGTACCTTCGTCTAATTTTTATACTTCTCCCTTTCATTTTTATTTATTACATGGTTATATATGATTTTAAAAAAGTCATTTCTCTCCTATCCCTATTCCTTAAGGCACTCAGCTCCCCTCCCAAGATGCATGTCTTTCTATATATATTTCTGGAAATATATAAGAAAATACACGCCCCTTTTGATTGAAATGGCAGCATTCTATATACACTGTTTAGTACCCTGCTTTTTGCATTTCTTGTATCCTGAAGAACGTTCCATTACAGTACATGAAGACCTTTGTTCTTTTAAAGGCTGCATAGTATTCCCTTGTGTGATATACCATAATTTAACAGTTAATGAACACTTAAGTTTCTTCATTTGTTTTCTATCAGAAATCCTGCTGCAGTGAATATTCTTGTATATTTATTATTTCCCTCACTTCCCACATGTGCACATGTATCTATAAGAAAACCCTAAGAAACAACTGCCTGAGCATTTGTGATTTTTGAAAGATAGCTCTTCCATGGCGGTCGTACCAAGATATAATCCCCAAAATAGTGTATGCATTACAGTTAACTCTCATTTAAAGAATAAATGCATTTCAATAAGATTAGATATATAGCAAATTGTGAACATAATGAAAGCCTAAAAATATTTTGCAAGTTCTAACCTCTGTAAAATGTTATCTCAAAGTCATAAAAAACAAAACATTTATTTTAAATGGTCAAGTGGATAAGGTGGTTTTTACTGCCTGTGATAACTGACCAGATCATTTTTTAGATTTAAGATTTATATAATTATATTTTAATAAAGTAAATGATAGATTAAAATAAAAATTTTTAACATTGTGAGCCGTGGATCAATCTGGATCTTATTTCTGTTCTTCATACTTCACCGTTCTGTCTTAATTTCTCTTTGCCTTCATTTCCAAATTTAGACAAAAGATGTATTTATGTCGGCTCTTTCATCAAAAAATTTTAAGTATGACAAGATTAGGTTAGCAAAGCCATATGACATCCTTGACAGAAACATGATAGGCTTCATTAATACTATAAAGTTCATTTTTATAAACTATCATCTAGTAGTTAAGATATGTACTTCCTGCCATGCTTTTCCTCTAGAATTAATGTGACTGCAGTCTTACCTCATGGTCTGGGTTTGGGATATTTTCCAATATCATTTTTGCCTGCTGAAAGTGCTTACTAGCTGCCACATACAGTTCTGGAGACTGAGGAGGAGGGCTGTATTTATTGAGGTCAGACATTTCCTACAAAGGGGGAAATATTGTTATTCAAAACATGTTATATGAACTCTAATACACATTTTTAAATAATTCTACATTGACTATCCAGTCATATATAGACAATGAAGCAAACACTCATCATGTCCCTATTTTTTCCTGTGTAATATTAAATTCTCAACCTTCATATACTACTTCATACTATTCATACTTAAATAACTATTAACATAATGAATGCATCCAAAAAGAAGCCGAAAAATTTTCACATTATTTAAATTGCTATTTTATCGCCCTGTCCCACTGGTCCAACAATAGTTTGACTATTTTAAAAAAATGGCTAGGTATAAACATCTCTGAGAAGGTCTAAGACTAAATATTTTATGGTGTTTTTAATGAGCAGGTTCACCTTGAACTGTAGATAGTGCACTGGTGGTGGTGTCATTACACTGTTGAACGGAGCAAATCTGTGCTCATATCGAACTTGTTCACTATCCAGCTCAAACTTGGGTTTTCGTACTTTGCCATCCATGTCAAATGCTACCATGGTCTAAAGGAAAAAGAGAATAAGAAAAAAGATGGTATCAATATGAAAAAGTGAACATCCTCCTTAAGTCAGAAAAGAAAATAAGAAACAGCAATTTACACATAGCTAAAACAATTTAAGGTACAGAAATAGGAAGAGAAAAACTGGCTTCACTATTCCTTTTTGTGTTATGTCATCTTTTATATTAAAACTTTTCAAGGTCTAGTGTTTATGTTACTGTTTTTTTCCCAGTGAAATTATACCACATGCACATTATTTTTCCATGCCTCATGCTTTACAATAGCTTTGAAACTTTCAAGTAAAAACTTCTGAAGAAACAAGTAGCATATGATTTTTGTAAGAAAAGCATAGGTCTTGTTTTTCAAGGAGTCCATGTTCTATATATTTTAACATAAGGGTGCCTCAAATCATTTCCTGAATTGCCAAGTACAACTTAATACTACACCTCCTTGAAAATGTCTTCTTTTGTTTAAGCCATTCATCGTGGAGCCTACCTCCTTCGTAATATACTCCTAAAAAAATCCAAACCCCATTTCTTCCAAGAAACCTTTCCTAATCATCAATCAGAAGTAAACTCTTCCCTCTCCTATTACCTGTGTCACACATATGCCACCTGGCCTGTCATTCTAGGCACCTGAGACAAGGATCACATCTGATTAGACTTGGTATCCTGTAGTGTACTCAGTACAAGATATATGGCACACCACATGGGTTCAAATATTTAGTAAAGGGGTCAAATATTTGGTAACAGAAGGAAATTTAACTATGGGTGGTGAATACGCAATGCCATATATATATATGACATGCTGTTGAATTGTACACTTGAAACTTGATTTTAATAATGTCACCCCAATACTTTTTAATAAAAAAGTTTGGTAAACAAATTAATGAAAACAACTAGACTTGGAAAAAAGTTAACTACAAACGATGGTTAGTAAAAATAAAGTTGAAATTAGAATCCAGAAAAGAAAATCACAGAAAAGAGTTCATTTTAATTAAACTATTTAAATGTAATGTAGCTAAAAAGTAAAAAGAACTTCAATGTCAACAACTAACCTTAAACATTCCAGCACACATGTTCTGATATGCCTGGCTCATTGTGATCTCTCGGCTCAGTGGGCGAACTGTAATAGAAAATCATCCATACGCTTTCCCCTTTCCTCTTGCATTATTGCAGGAAAAAATCTAAAAAAAAATCCTATCTTGTTTACTAAATTCTAAACATTTTTTTCTTACAGGATAAACATTATTTTATGGCCAAATCTACAAATAATAAAATATAACTGAAAGGCTAAACAAAAATCATGTTCCCCAAATAGCTAAAACTATAAAATTCTAGTATGAAGTAATTTTAACTTCTGAATTCATCATACAGAGACTTAAATAGGGAACCCATGAAAGGTTATTGAATAGTCCACTCAAAGTATTGAAATCCTAAGTAAATACGAAATATTTTTTAACAAATGTAGGAATATCTGTTCCCTTCCACAAGTGATCAGTAGGGCAGTCCTTCAGAAACACTTCTTTCTCCTCATGGTCCCTGAGTGGTGCATCGAGGCGCGCTGTAATCATCTTTCTGCGCGGACTATAAAAGCACAACTCCAGATCTACTTCCCTCCTGAGCTGTCAGCCTTCTGTCAAAAGATCAAAGGTCTCCTGCTGTCTTGTTCCTCAACCTATCTTGCTTACACACTCCATGTGCCTATTTCTTGTCCTAAGGTCCTCTGACACATGGAATTGCAAAGCAGTAAAGCAAAATAAGGAATGGAAGCCAAAAAACTTGTATCATTAATATTGGGGCTCGGTTTCTACCTTCTACTTTCCAAAGAGAAGACAGGGGAGAATTAAATTATGAGTAATTCACCCCTTATGAGGCAGAGGTAGCTCTTCATCTATTTGTAGAAATTAAAGTGTACTGCAATGTTATTTTTTTCTTAAGGTTAAAAGTAATCCACAGCACCTTTCTTCTTTTTCTTTGTCTTTTTACTGCTACGGCCTTTCTGCTGCTCTTCCATTATTCTTTCCTCTGCCATTTGAGAGCCATCGGCACGACTTAATGTCGACATCAACCATGCATAAAGGAATTCAGAGAGATACCTTAAAGGATAAAAAATGTTAGTTAATAGTTAATGTATAAATGAGATAGCTTTATCAACACATGTACTGGTACTAATAGTTATTTTCCATAATGCTATAAAGTCTTTTAAAAACAGATTACCCAATCAGATAACGGATAGATTATATAAGAAATGAGCATTACAAGGAATTAACTTGACCTTTATTGTAGCCATGTTGCCATACAATACTGAAAAATTTGTTTAATTTCCTACAACAACATGGTTTTACAACTTTACAAAAGATTTCTTCATAATCATATATGCATGGAACAAATGTCCATTACACTGGTTTCACTATATCAGAATGCGTTTCACCTCAACCTATTAAGTAAATATTTTATTTTCCTGTTAATTACAAGAAAGCCAATAAATCCAATCAAGAGCGCAAAAGCTTCCAATGAGCTGCCTCAAACCACAAAGAATGAACTTGAACATTTCCCCCATCAACTGTCTTCTTTGAATAGCAGTGTCTACTATGGGTTAACAAAATTTATCAAGACCTTCTGGTTAAGAGTTATTTGTTATCTATATAAATGTTGGAGAATATATCAAATAATATTTTTCTCATATTACTATAGTTGATGTTGAAATTCAATTTTCATAGCTAAGAGTTATCTGTTGAGAACCCCAGCAACCATGATAACAAGACCACATCAACAGTGTGGAAGAGAATTACTTTCCTTTCTCCGTTAAGTTATTCCAACATACAGTATCTTACTTACTCATGTAAATAATTTAAATGAATTAAAAAGATGAACTATATTAATATCTAATATACTAAACTTAGTTTGTTATGAACAATAGGTCATTATTATTTTTAAATGACCACCACACTCTGCCAGACTAAGAAAGATTTAAGATAACTGAATTTATTAGTGCACAATTTTATTTTTTCTATAACAGCTTTTCTATGCCTGAAATATTCTCAAGCATCCACTTACTAGGTTTCTTTACCTTATCTCCAAGTGAAAGCACAGAACTACTCTGCTGAGGATCATCTCTTATCAGCTCCAAAGCTCCTGAAACAAAGCCTCAGGGCCACAGTTTGCAACAATTATACTCCCAATGATAATCTTAGCCATGATTTCTTCTCAGAAGATCTAGTTCAAATTTTTAACTTAAATTCACTTAAGTACATTACACAGCTAGCATCTAAGTTCACTGAAGTTAGGGCAAAATATGTTGTTAGTTTTTCTCCCTAGAAACAGATAAGAGCTCTTCAATTAATCCAGTTACCTTGGTGCTACTTTTAGTAGTAATTTTTAAGAAAATATTCAATGGCTGAAAAAAAATTTGTGTGGTGTTAAGGTACTTAAAGATGTTCAAAATCACGTAGATCTACTTTTCAGTACTTTCCAATCGTCCCACAACTAATGTTAAAATACACCAAATGAAAAAGTACCTTGAAATTATACTCTACAGATACTCTCCCAGATCTTTTCTACTCCAGCTACTACCAATTTTAACTCATATTTTTCTCTTACCAGTATATGTAGTAGTACTCATGCATGCTGTAGAGTTCCAATTCAAAGCCACTTAGAAGATACTGTATCATAATTCGAAGGTTATGGTAAAGGACCCAGGTACCTAAACAGGCCAAATGTTGCCTTTGGGGTTCTTGTTTTAACAGCATAGTGTGAAGGGCTGCATCCACCTTCTCTGCCTATCAGAATAAAATATAACATTTACTTTCCTTTATAGGTAATGAGAGAATTAAACAGCTAAAAATAGCATGAGCAGAAAATGTAAGTCTCGCCACCTAAAGAATTCATACTTTCAAATACATTTTAGTTAGGTTTACCCAAATTTCTCATTTCACAATGGATAACATTTAGCTAAAACTCTTTAAACTAAAAAGACATCCAATTTATATGACAAAAAAAACCCCCCAAATAATTGACTTCAGGTCTTTAGTTATATTATTAATACTGCTGATGTTCACAACTTTACTTATGGTTAATATATTTTTACTATAATATGAACTTGCTACAGAACTACAGTTCTACAAATATTTTATAATTTATCCTGATTATCGAAAGAAATAATTTAAGTTGTTTCTCGGTTTGGATGATTGTTTTATTTCCTTTTCTAAACTATTACTTTGGTATGAAACTGTTACACGGTAAATGAAAAGAAAATTCATTATATTGAAAAATTAAATAGTCAAAATATTGTTCCAAACAACTATTCTTAAAAATCTGATCGAGGTATATGAACTGCTTAATATTATAAGGATGGCAACTTGTTGGCTCTTACCTCATCCTGCAAGGTAGCAAACTCCTCAAGAATATGACCAAGCTTATCTCTCTGTCGAGCCCTATTATGTCCATGGATCTGAATAAGACTACAGAATGGCTGCAATACAAATACAATTTATTAACTGTCAATATGAAATTTCCTGATACTAAAGAAAATTAACATTCCAAGTTTCCAAAATCTAGCTTTAGGAAGAAAAAAATGCTGTGTATTTAAGAATTATGCCTATGTCATTTTTCACATAGGTGTTTCTTTTTAAGGAATTCAACACCAGTATTTATCAATAGCTAGAAGAAAGTGACTGTTTATGAAACTTGTTTTTATAGCAAAAATATCTTCCTTCAATCTTTAGATATCTTCCCACCATTTCAAGAGGACAGTTTCCTTTTCTGCTTATTTCAAGCCAAAAAGCAATATTGAAGGCTGACATTTCTGTGTTGCTCTAAATATACCAAAATGCCTTATAACGTTTGAGTAATGGCTAATACCTATAAGTTCTGACAAAAATTCTTCTATTCCTACTTTCTCTATACAGTATTCTCATATGAAATACTATAATATGTCACTAATGAGATAATACACATGAAAAGTAGGATGCTCTGATTTAGGAAGTATGAATTATGAATTCAACTATAATATTGTTTTATAATGGTATGCTCTGACAGATATTATCTCATTTGATCAATAACTAGCCTATCCTCTTAAGAGGTATAGAGGTGCTATTAACATTTCACCTTTTTAAAGACTAAGAAATTTATAGAAAAGTAAAGTGATCTGCCTATGATAAAATATTAATGATAAAAAATGAAATCTGGTCTTTTATTGATTCTCCTTTCACCATACCATGCTGCCTGCAAATACTGGAATCAGGCCCAAAATAGCTCTCTATAAAGAACTTATAATTAAATAGGAATGACTTATAATTAATTGAATCCAACACAAGGTTTGTAATTTTTTCCTAATTATTTGAGATTTGAAAAAAGTTTGATTTCATCTAAATTAATAATTTTAATTTTACTATAATCTTATTAAGGTAGTACAAAAGTAACTGCCTGGGGAGGTTACAAATACTCCTTGTTTATAACGTCAAAATAAGTAAAGTTTTTGAGTCCATTTAAAAAAAATGAACAACTGCTCTTTTCCCAGATGGGGGTCATAATTTATCCTGTTTGTGTGGTTCTGAGAGGGCATCAAATATGCCTCCATATCTGACAATCTTGCCAGGAAGACTGTGGGTTATTGAAGCTATCTACTCAAGCATAAGACAGAAACCTCCTATTTATTCAGTGAAAATGAATAAGAAGTATTAGATGGAAAACAGCACAAATTAAAGTTATTGAAAGAATCACGCCCCACAATTTTTAAAGTATCCTCACAATGATTAAAATTTTAGTTCTTACCCGAACACAGTGAGTAACAAATGAGTCAATACAGTCCTTAGCCTGGTGATTATTATATAAGCAGCACCTGTAAGATAATAGTCATGTCATTAAAATCAAACTATTTGGCCTACAGAAAGAAGCAGTGATTACTGTAGGTGCCTCCAACAGACAGGGATGGTGGAAAAAAGAGAAAATGGAATCAAATACATTGCTAAGTTGAAGACTGGTAGCATCAGATTAAGAAATATTTCACATTACTATGTTGGACAATTAGAGTTGAATTGCATAAGATCAGATTAACAATGAGAGAAGGAAAATTCCAAGGCTCCATGCTTCCTGACCCTACTCCAATGTCATTTTTCCTACAACTGATACTCTCAGGGACTGTGCTCATAACAGTAATTTACAAAGAAAGCACTACACAGAATCCTCATTTCTTCAAGATGTATCTACATTTCCAACTACTGGCCAAAATCATCATCTAGACTCTGGGCACCTCATCATCTTCCATCCTCACAAAGTGGTTCTCCTGTGGCATTCCTTATCTCAGTTAAAAGTATCGCTTCTGACTAACAGCCTTCCTGAGCAGTCTGGAAGGATCTTCTACCTTTCTGGCTCTAGAGGAACTACAGGGACTTAATAGATGAAAGATATTCTTTTTTTTATCCCTGAGATGGGAGGTCAGTAGCCTTTGCACCTAAGGAGATAGGGAGAAGCAGACAATCTTCTGGTGCACTGAGAGGAGCTGACAACTTGCTGCTCCTAAGAGGTTGCCATAACTGAGCAATGTGACCAGAGCCTCAAAGATAAAGAGCCACGATGATGCAGTGAAAAATTACAGTGCATGTAGGAGCCAAGAGAAAGAAAAAGCAGAACACTTGAAATAGGTGGTCACAAAATAGAAGTGCTGGAAGGTCCATTACATTTTTATCTCTACAGTAAGAAAATTACTGAAGGAGACTAAAATACAGCAATTAAAAAAAAAAAAAGGTTTTCTGGATCTAAAAACTACAATTTAAAAATTTAAAAATTTAGTAGATGAAAGAGTCTCACTAAGTAGCCTTGAAGATCAAGAAGAAGAACTTTCTCGAAACAGCAAAAATAACAAATAAATGTCATGAGGGATATGGAGAAGAGATTTTAAGAACATAGTATATAAGGAGCTCTGACAAAGAGGAAAAGAGATGAAGGTGAAGTAATAATCAAATAAAAATATAGGAAACATGGTCTGACTGAAGACTTGAGACTTTAATAACTTAGTTCCAGATAGGATTATCTGAAAATCACACATGAACATTCTGGTAAAACTCTTGAACTTCTAAAATAAAGAGAAACTACAATCCTCCAGAAAAAAAGTATCAAATCACTACAAAGGAAAAAGAATCAGATCAGCATCAGATGTCTTATCTGTAACACTGGAATTTTTAAAACCATCTACAGGATACCATGCAATGAATTTTGCTATATACATAGTCCATTCTCAGTATAGTTTTGTGATCGTTTTCTTCTATAAAGTTGCCATGGACACTGAAATAGAGAACTCTGAAACACTGCTGCTATGGTAAAATATGGGGGTTATGTTCCTACCAGTCTCTGGTCACATTTTCATCATCAACTGATCAAGACATAACCTTGTTTTATGTGTACTTCTGTTTCAAGACACCGTACGTAATGTATGTTGTTGATTCACAGCATTGAACTCATGCATCCAACACACACATTCTCTCTGTAAGGCGCACCACAGTCTTCTTGTGGTAAGGAACAGTACACACCACATCACTACCCTCAGAGGACATTTTAAACTATGGAATCATTAACAAAAAGCACAAAAACATGGCAGCTAACAGTGTTATTTATAATATAAGGGCTGAAACAAGAAGGCAAGAAGAAGGTTGCCTTGTTCAACCTATGTGTTAAGAGACTTGAATTTTTTACCACTCTGCACATGACCACGAAGATGACGACAGCAGAGTGAAAACTGATTTGAGGGTTACAAATACATTTTAGCAAGTAGGCAAATTTGCAAATATGGAATCCACAAATAATGAGATGGACCATAGTTAAATCTAAATGGATAATAATGAGTGACAATGTGTAATCTAATTGCTAACGGAAGATTGTTGAATAAAGGCAAATGCAAATTAAGATACAGATCTATTTCACATGTATCAGATTGTCAAAAATTTAAGTCTAATAATGCCAAAGCCTAGACTACAGGGAAATTGGAATCCTTATACACTGTTGGCTGGCGTATGAATTGGTCCAATTGTTTTGGAAAGCAATTTGGCGCAATTAGTTAAGTTGAAGATGCACATACCCTATGTTCAGCAATTCTATTTCTAAGTATATAGCCTATGTGCATAAGGGGAAATGTTCAAAGATGTTCATTACGGCACTGATTTCAGTAGTGATACATTAGAAACAAGTTAAACATCTAATTGTAGAGAACTGGCAAAATGAAGTGCAGTATCTTCGAAGGGTAGATTTTAATGAATGAAATAAGTCTGCATGGATCAACTTGGTTGATTCCAAAACATTAAAGTTGAAAAATAAATGCTGCAAAAGGATGTCGCACTTTTTTAAGTGACAAAACTTAAGTGAAATTTAAAAACATAAAATAAACTGATATATTGTGTAAGGACACATATATCTGGGTAAAGTGAACAAGCATTCATAAGAGTGATATATACAAACTTTAAGGACTGGAGTGAGAAGAAAGAATACAGTAGAAAAGAGGATTTGAAAGTCTACTCAGTTTTCAAAATGTGGCCTAGGTTACCCTCGTGGTAGTGGTAGGGCTGTCCTTGAGATGCTTCCAGGGGAGAACACAAGGTCAAAGCTATTTTCATAATAATAAGATGTTATTTGCCTTTTGCACTTATTCTCTCACAAGTGTATAGCTATCTTCTATTAAGACAGACATGAAAGAGATTTGGCAAAATGTAAAACAATGCCACTTTTCTATTTTTTCTTAAAAACATAGTTATTGTCCATAAAAATGTTACTTATGTTAATATGTAATGGGTTATTGTTATTTTTTAAAGAGTTAATACATATGACCCTTACAAATAAAAGCTATTTGGTTCCTTAATAACTTTTAAGAATGTAAAAGGGTCTTAAGACAAAAAAGCTTGAGAACTGCTGCTTTATGTATCTCTACCAATTTAATTCATTAAAATTAGCTGCTCCTTCATATCTAAACTTAGCCCTACTCTGGGACCTTTCAGTTGTTGACTGTCAGGTAGCTCCACCCCCTAATCTTACATGGCTCACTCCCTCTGTTCACTCACATATATTACCACTTCCAAGTGGCCTTTCACAACTCTCATATCTAAGAGAACCATCTATCCCTGTATCTTACTTTATCTTTCTACATAGCACTTATCATGACCTGACATTATGAAATTTATTTACTGTTTAGTCTTTCCTACTGAAAGGTAAACTCCTTTTCAGCAGGTGTATCCTTCCTTACCCTAGAATCCAGAAAAGCACCTGGCAACAGCAGGTACTAATTTATTATATTTATAAAATAAGAGAATAAAATGTATTAAATCATATATAGTCAGTATTTATAAAATTTTATCAATTCTCTTATCAGTAAGGAAATATATAAAAAACAAAATTAGTAATAAAAATGTTGCTTTAAATGGATGGTGGTACAGGTGTCTGTCAGTTTATACACCTGAATATTTGATATATTCAATCATAACACTATTTAAATAATTTTTAGCTGTTTCTATTTGCAGGTGACATATTACATGTAGAAAACCCTGAAGATCCCGCCAACAAATGGTTAGAATAAATTAATTCAGTAAAGTTACATATGGCCAATTAATTTTTAACAAAGGAGCCAAGAATATACAATGGAGAAAGGACAGTCTCTTCAATAAATGGTGCTGAGAAAACTAGACGGCTACTTGCAAAAGAATGAAAAAGAATGATGCAGGAGAATATGTCTTAACAAATATTAAAACTTAAGACAAAGCCACAATACAGAAAATATATATTACCACTGGAACTGAAATAAATTCCAAAACATAACGGTTTAAGTATAACAAAGATAGCCTTTTAATCCAGTGGGAAATGATGGTTTATATTGTAAATGGTGCTCACCCAATTGGCTGTCTATCTAGAATGAAATCAAGTTGAATTTCTATCTTCATATCATTTATAGGAAAAGAATTAAGAAGGATTAAAATTTTTAAGGTACAGAATAAAGCCCTAAACATATCTAAAAGATTTAGTGGTACAACATATGGGCTGGAGAAAATTATCTCAAAGGAGAAAGCTGAAAGTTACATAGGATCGAAAAAACAAAACAAAACTCATAAAAAATTATCACTACAGAAAGCAAAAATTTTAATGTAGCAAAAGAAAGATTAAGAAAAAAAAATCTGCAGTGCCTATCACAGATAAAGGATTAACCTCCCATAATATATGTTCATAGAAATTTTCCAAAAAAAGTCAATGGGAAAAAGATATGAATAAGCAATTAAAAAAATTTAAATGTCCAATCAATATTGTATTGGTGCTCAAATTAAAGTTCCAAGGAGGTATCGCTTCTTACACAACACACTGGAAAAAAAAAAAAGAATAACACCTGGGAGTGGCTCCATAGTGTAGTGGTTAGCACATCTGCTTTACACGCAGAAGGTCCTAGGTTCGTGCCCCCGGTGGAGCCACGGACCATACCACGGGTGCGCTAGGCCCCAGGGCACCTGGCCCCAGGTACACGCCGCAAGCGTGTGGGAGGAGACGCAACGCCTTCAAAGATTCAATTCTTAAGGGGAAACAGCAACATCCATATGGCAGGGGTGGAACTGTGTGTAGGGGAATTAAAGACAGGGAAAAAAAAAGAATAACACCTACTGCTGGTCAGTACGCAAGGAAAGTATAATCTCATATATTGTTAGTAGAAATATGATTGTTACGATCTTTTAGAATGCGAGCTGGCAATATCTATTAAAATTAAAACTACACATGCCCCTCCACTCAATAATGCTACTCCTTAGAATACATTCATATTAGGAAATATTTCGCAGCCATTAAAGAGAATTGGATCTATATCAGGTAATATGAGAAAAAATCATGATGTATCTCTGAGTGAAAAAGAGATAATTTTTAAATAAAAATAATTTAATTTAAAAAAGCAATCCACAAAATAAAAGTTTACAAAAACAGTCTGTTTAATGTGATCATATTTATATAAAGCCATATATGTATCTTTATAAACAAAGATATATACGGTGATGGTCATCGAAATGTAGTTATCTTAGAGGTAAGATTTCAGGTGATTTTTATGACTCTTCACATATTTTTCTGCATTGTTTAAATTTTCAAGTGTGACCACATATTATTTACATAAAGCAGTCCCCCCTTATCCACAATTTGTTTCTATGGTTCCTGTGGTCAACAGTGGTCCAAACACATTTCATAGAAAATTCCACAAATAAAAAATTCATAGTTTATGTGGTTTCTTTCTCTCTTTCAAATCTTATTGTACTGTATTGACCCTTTCCACTTAATAAGAATTACTAGAACACAAGCACTGATACCTCAACAGTTGATCTAATAACCGAGATGGCTACTAAATGACTAACATGAGAGTAGCATATACAGTGTGGACACAATGGACAAAAGGATGATTCATGTCCTGGGCAGGACAGAGCAGGACAGCTTGAGTTTTCATTATGCCACTTAGAACGGTACACACTTTGAAACTTATGAATTTTTTTATTCCTGGAATTTTCCATTAAATATTTTCAGACTATAACTGACTTCTCTAACTGAAACTGTGGAAAATGAAGGCACAGATAAGGGCAGGGGTGGGGGTGTGGGAACTACTGTGTTTTACTTAATGGTCCCAAAGCTCAAGAACAGTGAGTCTGGTGAAGAGAGAGCAGAGTTTGCCACCCCAAAATATGTCTCTTTGAGATATTATTTTAAGCCGGTTACTTTTAAGAAACAAAAGACTCAAGAAGAAACTTCGACTTCCCCCCTAACTGCTTAAAAGAATTCCAGGAAGGGAGCTATCATCACAGATAACTATAGTTTAATATGCATCCTTTAAGTGAAAAGGTAAGTATATATAAGAAAAAATGTAGGGTTTGGGACTATCTGCGGTTTCAGGCGTCCACTGGGGGTTCTAGAATGGTCCCCCATGGGAAAGGGGGGACTACTATAATCATTTTTTTTTTAAAGCAACTTAATTACCTTCTTTTCCCTATTGAATTAGGTGTCACATCCTATTAATTTTACTAGTGAAATTATTTCTATTAATTTTACTACTGAAATTTGTTCTTTTATATTCCCAGAGTTTAATCCTTCCTCATCTCTCACTTGTATTACTGAATCAGCCTAGCTAAAAACTTTACCTCTATTATCACTACAGATTTGCTTCCTATTAAAAAATACATACCTTACACTGAATAGACTTGAAGGCAGTGAGGGAGTCAGCCCTGATAATTTTTGAGGAAAATGCCCTCCACCCCCAAACCTGTGTAAAGGCCATGAGAAAGAGCCTGTAAGTTCTAGAAATAGCAAGGAGGCCAGTGTGGCTGAAGCAAAGCCGGTGAAGGGAAAAACTAAGAGATGAATGAGGTCAGAGAGGCACCAGGACGGGGTCTAGCCTAGAGCACATGGGGCCTTGAAGGTTCAATCATAAAGATTTTGGCTTTTACTGTGAATGAAATGACAAATATTAACTAACACTGAGGATGCTTGTGAATTTATTTCCTACCAGTTAAGGGGCAGTTCTTAATTGACAGGTGTGTGGGTAAATTCTCAAACTCCCTTGTCCCTGACTAGGACAACTCTGAGGTGTAACCTACACTGTCTCCAGAGCTCCTTAACAGGACTGAACCAGAGGAACTTTCCATGGAGCACACCTTTGGGTGGCTTTCTTACTCTTCATGTCTCACTTGCCCACACCTCTACCGGGTTTTCCTGGGAACACTTTATAATTATGTATACATAAATCTTTGTCTCAGGGTCTGCTTCTGTGGAACCCAACCTAAGAAAGAAAGCTACCAGGGAGTTCTATGTGAGACGTGGCATGACTTATTCAACAAATTGAACGCTGAATCACTAAAAACTGTTCTAATAATACATAAATTCATACAGTCTTCACCTATGTTCGTTTAAGAAATAAAGACTTTTCTTCCCTCTACACTGGAGAAACTCTACTTATTTTTCAAAATGCCAACTCAAATGATGATTATTTCTGCCTGAAATACCTTCCAGCTCTTATGACAGCATGTTTTCAGGTTAGTGACACTATCTGAACATAATTTAAAAATCAATTACCTGCATTTTCTATTTCTATGTAAACTCAGATCATTGAGAAGAGACCTTATTTTTATAATTATTTCCCATAGTGCCCACGTAATACAGTGCTTTGCATGTAGTAAGAGTCAATAAAACTTACTGAATTTCTGATAACTCCTTGGAAGTTTTGCTTTTCATAATAGACCTAATGTTAACCTCGCAAAAACTTCAGTTACAGAAATCAATTTTATGAATGTTTTTTATACAGAGACTTGATTCCAACAGTTTTTATGCCTTAGCTATAAAGAAAGAAGACAGAGAATTTGGGCTTTTAAGAAATACATATGCTATAATGTCTTATGATACTTACTTCGGGGAAAGCACCGGAGGACTGACAAAAGACCGAAGTGCATCTTTCACCATGTCTTGCATGAGATGAGTTCCAAAGACTTTTTTGTTATCCACCAGGAAAGTGGTCTTAAAACAAAAGTTATATATTAGTAATGCTGTCATGATCCTGACATATTGTACGTATAGCTGCCATACCGTGTGACATGAGCATACCTCTTATAAATACCACAGAATAAAAAGAGATTAAAATATACAAAGTTGGTGGAAAATTTTTATAAATCACTGCCTCCACAATGGGTATTACTTATTAATCCCTATTTAAGGTGTATTCTTATGCAGAATAAAAAATGTGCAGGAAAAAAATCTCCCAAAAGTAATATTGAACTAGTCAAAATGAACTGACTATTCTATGTCAAGTGAACTAATATATAAGGTAGAGCTCCCTGAGTTATGAAATATTAAGTAGTTATAAATATTAAGCCAGTCAACAATTTTTATCACTAATGAACACTTTGTAACGCATACAAACTTTCCAAACTTGGAAAAAATAAATGATTAATACATACAGTATTAAATTTAAAATAATTATTTAATAACTTGCATTTAATTTTCTCCCCTTAACAACCTCAGGGGTTGTTAACCTTAGTACATTATACCTTACTTGATTTCCTAACACATCTGAGTTTTTTCCAGTTTTTGATGATCATAAACCAAACAGCTATAAATATTCACATATGGGTTTTTCAGGAGAACATCAGATTCTACATCTCTTAGGTAAACAAGGGTAGGATTTGTAGATTTAATTTTATAAGAATCTGCCAAATTGTTTTCCAAAGTGGCTGTAGCACTTCACATTTTCATCAGTATTGCATCCTTACAAGCACTTGGTATTTTGTACTTAAGATATTCTGAAAGGTGTATAGTATTATTTCATTGTGGTTTTCACTGGCATTTCCCTATTACTAATAATGCTGAATATTTTTTCATATCAAAGTGTTCAAATTTTTTGTCCATTTTAAAAATTGGATTTTATGGGTTTTTTAAATTATATTTATAGAGTTCTTTATATGTTCTAGATTCAAGTCTTTTGTCAGACACGATTTGCAAATGCTTTCGCCCACTGCGTAGTTTCTTTTCATTTTCTTAAGTGTATGCCACAGAATTAAAGTTTTAAATTTATCAATTTATCATTTTTTTAAGGATTGTGCTTTTGATGTCACACCTAAGAATTCTCTGCCTTTTCCAAAGTCACAAAGATTTTCTCCTATTCTTTCTTCTAAAAGTTTTATAGTTTTACATTTTACATTTAGGTTTATGATGTATTCTGAGTCAACTTTTCCTTTTTGCATATGCCTGTCCAATTGTTCTTGCATCATCTATTGAAAAAGACTACCATTTATTTCTCCATTGGTTTGCCTTTGTGCTTTGTCAAAAATTGACAATATTAATTACTGATCAAATGATTAACATCAGTCAATTAATAAAGGACTGTATAATATAAAACTATATTAGGACTAATTTAAAAACAGGACTTTTCTGGACTTTCCCCTTGGTTCCACTGATCCATACATTCATCATTTTACCAATACCATACCTATCTTGCAGTCAGGTTAGCATGATTGAGTTCCTAACTTTGTCCTTTTTTTTTTCAACAAAATTGTTTGGCTGTTCTAGTTCCTTTGCCTTTCCATATAAATTTTAGAATCAGCTTGTTGACATCTATAAAAATTCCTGCTATAATTTTGATTGAGATTGCTTTGAATCTATAGATCAATATTGGGGAGAACATCTTAAAAATATCAATTCTTCCAATCCATGAACAAGGTATATCTCTTGATTTATTTAGGTCTTCTTTGATTTCATCAGTATTTCGTAGTTTTGAAGCACAAAGGTCCTACAAACAGGTGTTAGATTTACATCTAAGCATTTCATTTTGATATTATTGCAAATAGTTCTGTTTTTCAAATTCTGATTTCCTATTGTTCAAGTATGTAGAAATACAATTGCTTTTTGTATACTGGCCACACGTCCTAAGATCTTGTTAAACTCATCCATCAGTCTAGGAACTTTATAGATTTCTTGGTGCTCTACACAGAAAATCATGTGGTTTGTAAGTAGAAAATATTTCCTCCTTTATCTTCAAATGTATGCCTTTTCTTTTTTCTGCCTTTTATCACAGGCTAAGAGTTCTAGTACTACACTGAGTAAGAACGAAGTGATGAGAGTGGACATTCTTGCTTTCTTACCAATCTGAGGAAAGGATTTAATCTTTCATTATTAAGTATGATGCAGACTGTAGGGTTTTTTATACATGTCCTTTATCAGGTTAAGTTCTCATCTATTCCTAGTTTTGCTGAGAGTTTTTAAATCATGAATGGATGCTGACTTTTGTCAAATGCTTTTCCTGAATCTACTGAGATTCTATTGAGAAGCTATTGAGATGAATTACACTAATTTTCAAATGTTGAACCAGCTTTAAATTCCTGAAATAAAACCCACTTGGGTCATGATATTTTAAAATATATTGCTGGGTTCAATCTGAAAATAAGACTTTTGTGCCTGTATTCAAAAGGGATATTGGTCTATTGTTTTCTATGCTTGTTATGTCCTTGCTTTTGCTACTGAGGTAACGTTGGCCTCATATGAGTGTTCTTGCTTCTTCCATTTTCAGGAAGAGACTGTGTAGATATGGCCTAGAATTTTCTTTGTTGGGAGGTTTTTAATGATTAATTCAATTTCTTTAATAGATATAGGATTAGTCAAGTTATCTATTTCTTCTTGAGTGAGTTTGGTAGTGTCCTCTAAGGAACTGGTCTATTTCATCTAAGTTTTTAAATTTATGGACATAGAATTGTTTATAATATTCCCACATTATCCTTTTAATGTGTGTAAGATCTATAGTGACATCCTCTCTTTCATTCTTGATATTCTTGATATTCACTTCTCACTTTTTTTCTTGCTCTGTCTGGTTAAAGGTTCATCAATTTCAAAGAAGTGGCTTTTGGTTGCATCGATTTTCTCTCTATAGTTTATCTGTTTCCTATTTTACTAATTTCTGCTTTTATTTTTGTTATTTCCTTCCTTCTCTTGTTTTGAGTTTAACCTGCTCCTCTTTTCCTGGTATTTTAAAGTGGAAACGTAAATTATTAATTTCAGATCTTTTTTTTCATATAAACATTTTAAGGCTATAAATTTCCCTCTAAGTTCTGATTTAACTGTATCCCACAGATTCTGATATGTAATATTTTCATTCTAATTGCAGGCTTCCTCTTTGATCCATGTATTCTTTTCACATGTGTTAATTTCCAAATATTTGGCCCAGGATATAATTTTGACGAACGTCTAACAATCTAAGTCAATACTTCTATTAATAAAATATAACATTAACTGCAGAATACACTTTAAAACCATCTCAATAAAACAATGTCAACATATAACTCAATATTTGAAGAAGTATTTTTAATATGAAGTTGAACTTACTTGTAAAAGGGATCTTGAAAGAACGCAAGGTGACTGTTCACTAAACTCACAAAAAAAATCCTGAGAGACACAGAGAATAAGTAATGTCATTAATAGATTAAATAAAAGCTGAAAATGTCTGCATATAGAGTGTAATTTTTACTAGACTCTCTGGGAATTATACACTACCAGAGTCAGAATATGACAAATAGCTAAAGATCATTTCTACATGAATTATCTAATTGTACCAATGGAACAATGGATAATTTTAGAGCATCAATTTTTTTTAAAACAAGCTGATCAATAATTGTACTGTGTGGATACCCATATTATATTAATACACCATGAAAATAACAGTATCAATAATTTACTAACGTAAGAGTTTACTTCCTACTTCACAGAAATACCAAGTAATCAGGCCAACTGGATTCATATTACCAACTGTTCAAACTGGCAAACATCAAGATATGCTTAGAAAACTATATATGGGTTTATACACAGATAAGAAAAAAAGATATTCTGAAACGTTAACATGTATATTGTAAGACAGTAGTTATCATTTTCATATTCTGCATTTTCCAAATTTTATAGTTAAGTAAGAATGTATGTATATTAATATTTGTTGGGTAAAGACAGGTATCAGAGTTTGGAAACACCTGTGGCACTGCTATAGGCTGGCAGTGAGAATAAAATATATACACTCTACAACTCTCCTAGAAACAGAGACAGTTGTTGCCCAAGTGTCTATCACCGTGGAAAACATCCCTCAACAATTATAGGCAGCACTTTTTTCCACTGAGCTCTCGATTGTAGCCTAAGGATTCCCCTCAGTACAGTTCTCATCAATGACTCAGATCTGGTATTCAAGAGGAACCTCTCTGCCACCCAACTCCATCCAAGAAAGGCAATACTATTGCCGGACATGAAAAAATCCTGGTCCTTTTATATGTAATATCCTTAAATTAGAGGGGTGAAAGTGGGAAGGAGATGACTGAGGAAGAGAGAGTGGGAGTGGAAAGCAGTGGTGGGGACATAGAGTGGTAGGAGGTGTAGTGAGAAGAATGGAGAAAAAACATGTTTTTCAAGGGCTGTTAAAATATGTTCACTGAAGTCCCACCTATTTTTTTAAAGGTTTTCTTTTTCTCCTCAAACTATTAACTCTTTGAGTTATCATTTCAAGTTTCTTCATCATTTTGAATAGCCATATACAATGTTTTAAGTCCTCTCCTCTTTAGAGGAGACAAACCTTGTAATTTTCAGTTACAATTACTTTATTTATGACCACTCATTCTAGCTCTTTATTGGCTCTTCATCATCCCAAATTTAAAGTATGGATATCCCCTGTCTGCTTCTTTCTACACTTATTCCTCAGACTCATGATCCTAAATTTAAATGGGTATTCTGCCAAATTTTACCAAGTTTCGCTAATCAATTCTTTTTTTAAAATTAACTGTTACACCTTACACACACTGCTCAAAATAAATATTCTCTACCAGAGATATGTTCTCCCATTCCACATTACAAAGAAATTTAAAACTCATCTATCCAACAGGAAATTCCTCAACTTCAGCCTCTCAACCTCTTACTGTACCCTACATCTGTACCAGATCTTTTCCTTGCCTACTTTAACCACAGAAGTCCTCTAACTTGTACCAAGGACTCCATTCCTTCCTGCTTTTTCAAGATTATTATACATTGTCAATTATCCATCCTTTGCTCCCCCAGATAGTAAAGTTTTCCCTCTAGCAGATTGTTCCCATTTACATTTAAACAGCCAAGTTTCTCCCATTTAAAAAAAAAAAAAGACTGTCACATGATCCCACATTTCCCTCTCAACCACTGCCTTCTCCGCCAAACTTTCTAAAGGAGTTAGCTACACCCCCTGTCTCTATTTACTCAACTCCCACTCATCTTCACTGCCCACTACCTGGCTCTTTGTTCTAGTCACCATTATCTCCCATCACTAAATCCAATGAACATTAGTTTTGGACCTCTATTCATCTCTTTCATTTGACCTCTCACAGCAGCATGTGACATGACTTCTTTCCTGAAAAACCTTTTAATTGACTTTCAGGAGTTGCTTCCTCTTTGGCCTTTTCTTCTGTAGGTTCACAGTTTAGTTCTAGACTACCTTCCTTCCTTAATCTATATATCTTTTTTTCCTTGTAGTTTTATCCACACTCATGCTTCAATTACTATCTATACTGTAATAATTCTAAAATAATAATTCTAGCACAGAGCTCTAAACTCTATCCATATAGCCAATATCTATTCTATTATCTACTTAAACATTTCAAACACACCTCAAACTACTTCCTACGACTCAACTGACTCTCAAAGGTCCCTTTTGAGAATTTCCTCATTTCAGTGAACAGTGCCAAATCTGTCAGTAGCATGGAGACCTTCCTGAGAGCTCCTCTAATGCCCTATATTTAAAACACCATCAATATTCTACCAATTTTAGCTCACACATAGCTCTCCTGACTACCTCATCATCTCCCTGCCATCCTTCTAGTCCAAGTTGTCATCTTCTTTCCCTTAAACTATAATAATGATTTCTTAATTTGTTCCCTGTGTTTATTCTGGTCCTCTTCTACTCTTTTTTCAATAATGCAGCCACATCTTTGCAAATTCTTAACCCAATTACGTCACTACTCTATCCATACTGATCTTACATAACTCTAATGGTTTTCCTTTGCCCTATGATAAAGACTAAAATCCTTAATGTGGCTTAAATGGACCTGTTTGACCTGCCTTACACCTTTTTAGCCTCACCAAATCCCCCATCACCATCACAGTATGATCTACTCTGATACTTTTCTTTTAGTTTCTCAAATGTATCATGGAGGGGCATTCAACTTCCTTCATCTGGAACGGCCTCCTCCTCACCATCTCAATGAATGTCTATCTAAACTTCAAATCTCAGCTTTACCTTTACTTCCCTAAGAAAGCCTTCTTTGATCACCTAGGTCAGTTCCTTGATTACGTATGTTCCTTTCCTTCATATCACTTACTTTGGTTTTTAATTCTATAATCAGTGTTATTATTTGATTAGTTTCTATCTCACACTAAAGTGTAAGCCCTACAGCAGCATAGATAGATAAGCTTTAGCTTATCATTGTATACTTGCCATAGCCAATAGTGCTTAGCATAAAAAAAACACTCAAAGATGTTGGGTGAACTGATGAATGTATGTACATTCACTCCCACAGTTCGTACTACATTTCTATTGCTAGTACACATCGCTAACATGGTATATTCTATGAAGTCCATTATTTACTTCCTCTAAACTCAGCTACTCCACAGCTGTCAAAAGTGTCATCTTCTGGGTTCCTAATCCACAAGTTTCCCTTCACTAATTTCTCTACCCTATAACTTACCATTATATTTTTTCCCTATATGCCAAATACCAAAAATTTTTTAAAATGTAGAAAAATGCAAAGAGTAAACTATCATCCAGCATTCTACCATTTAGAAATAGTCATAATTAATATTTTCCCATCTTTTTTAAAACTGAATTTGGCTCTATCTCTAACAATTTTTTCTGTATGCAACAATGTATAAATGGATCACATATTTTTAAACACAGCTTGACATTTATAAACATTTTCCCATGTCAATATTTTTCTATAACATGCTCTTAATGACTATTTGACACATACCATAGAAAAGATAGTGTCACCATTGGGCATATAAACTGTTTCCAGTTTTTCAATATTACAAAGGATGATGTAACTAAAAAAGGTTTTAGTGCCTCTGCATATATCTCAGATTATTTTCTTATCCTAAATCTCTATCTAGAAGGGGAGTTGCTGGGTCAAAGTACAGGAGCCACTGGAGTATAGGAGAATGACTATTTCCCTTTATCAACATAAATACTACTACACTTTTCAATCTAGTTGTTACAAATTGCATTTTAGTTATTAGTAAGGTTAAACATTTTTCATATTTCTTTTTCAACCTGTCTGCTCATGTCCTTTCCTAATTTTTCACTTGGATGCTTTATTTTATTGACACGTCAGCATTCTCTATAATCTGGCATTTTACCCTAATAACAGGTTTCTTATGCAGATCTACCAGACTATTTGGTCTCTTATTCTCCTTAACTTTAACTGTTTCCTCTACTCTTGGCCTCTGCCACATTCTCCTCCTACTACTACCTATTCCTCTGTCCCAAGTCTTCCAGGGATCCAGACTTTTCTCCTACTATGGTCTTCCCATGTCCAATGCCAGTAGTCCAGGACTGGCTCCACCAGCCCCCTCTCTTATGGTATGTCATGCATTCATGCCTCTGACAAGGCAATCCGTAATCTTTTGCCAGATTATCAAATTCCAACTGTTGTATCATACTTTCTAATTCCAGTTCACATTGATCTCTTTTTCTAAAATCCTACGATTAATCTGGTGAACACAAATATATATCCATGTAACAAAGATCAGAAAAGCAGATACAGCAGAGGTGTAAGAAAATCTCTATTCATTATCCTGATATGCCACTAACCAATAATCTAATTTAGTTATAAGCCCTCTAAACCTTAGTTTGTGTTAGCTATACAGTGAATTGTGAAATGAACTAGCTTATGACTGTGATCTTTTCTACCTTTAGATACTATGATTCTTATGACAGAATAGGACAAACTACTAAAAAGAAAGTAAACAAAAGGAAGTAATAAAGTCATAATCATTTAAAGTTTCACTAAGGAACGAAGACTTAAGCTGGGTTTTAAAGCAAAGAATTAGTGGAAGGGAAAATAAAGTTATCACAAGACAGAGAACAAAAGCACAAATCTTCACTGACCATCAACTATATCCCAGAGGCTGTTGCTCAGTTCTATGAATATAAATTGGTTAATTTGTCATCTCAAAGAACATAGTTACAGAAAAACCCTGAAACAAGGAAAACTTCACAGAGGAAATGACATGGGGCTAGAAATTGTATACCTCAGCATGCAGGAGGAACAAATCAAATGGATATCTATACAGAGCCATACAAAATAAATTAGTGTACTATGTCTAAATATTAACAGTATTATTTTGCATATTCTCTAACTTCCTACTAACCTTATGTCACTATAACCTTACCAATGAACAAAACTCTATCTCTGAATGTTTTAATATTCCCAAAATAAGCCTATACTTTTTCTATATTTTAACCCATAAAGATTAATTCAAAATATGCCAACTTAAAAATGTATATACTCTTTTACCCAGCAACTCCACTGTTTAGGAATTTACTCTGATATAAAGATTTATGTATAAAGACATTTGTTTACCTTAGTATTGTTTATAACAATAAAATACTGAAAATGACCTAAATGTAGTTCAATATGAAAGGTCTTACAATGGAATACGATGTAGCCATTAAAATAATACAGAAATATATGTATTTGTTGACATAAAAAGATGTTCATGATATAGAAAGTAATAATTAAAGAAAAAGGTTACCAAACACCATGATCTAATTTTTGCATGAAAATTTATACACATGTACATACTTACATAAAAGGTTTTGAAGATAGAATCCAGGGTTGAAACTCCCTGGATGTGTAAAACTTAGTGAATTATCTAACCACTCTAAACTTAAATTTCTTAATCTCTAAAATGAATAGTTATATTCCAGAATAGAGACTTCTACTTACCAGGATACAATGTAAATTTGTTAAATTGACCACCTCACACACAGTTTTTATTCTATCTATTAATCTTGCAAAATAGTTGACCATTTCTTCCCTTTTAATTATTTTTGCATAGCGAGGGAAGGTGGGTGGAAGTAGCCTCTGGTTAACAAGGGGCTCAAAACCCATCATAATTGGATGATCTAAAAAGAAAAAAAAGAGATTTTCAATGTTCCTCTGAATTTTAAACCTCGAGTACTACTAAATATAAAAAGGTCAGTTTCAAATATCTAATCACAATATTCTCTAAATGGATTTTATAATTTACAATATATAATAAAATATATACACACATTTTAAAATGAGATAAGCAGATTTAATAACCTAAAATTGTACTTCCTATCTGCATGGTGGTGGTAGTGCTGACAAAGAGCTTCTACCTCAAAATAACTCCAAGCCAAGAACGGGATAAAATAGGGTTAACATAGTTCCTCAAAAAAAAAAGGCGAGGGGAAATGCTGCATTACCATGAGATTGTGAAGAAAGGTAAAATGGGAACACACTATCTTCCTTTCAATTACTGAGGAGAAGAATCAATTCAGATTTAGCTACATAATAATGCAAAACATCAGAGGAGGAAAGTCTCCATTCCGCCCCCATGAGTCTGGAAGTCATTTGGTACTAAAATTTAATTACAGAAATTCACAATCAAAATAAAATATTACGAGAGACCTAAGGGTGAGTTCTCATTCTCTGCTGGTGATCTCACTTTTCACACTATTGCAAAGCTCCAAATCAGTCTTTCTTAACTGGAAATCTAAAATGAAGAAATATATCCCTGAAATGTAAAATGATTAAAAATCTTGGACTCAAAGTTCTCTTGCTGAATTATAAACAGGCTACAAACCAAGAATTAAAAAAAAAATTTGGATGTCAATGAAAGAAAAATTAAAGCTGAGCAGGTCTCATTATTAAGAATTAAAAGCAAGACTGATACTTAATCAAATTACAATAATGCTCCTGAGACATACATCCTATTACTAGTGAGGATCATGGCCTTCTTCCTCTTCTCCGTATTAAAGTTCTCTCTGATTGAAGTTATTTATTTTCATACAAATTCTAATTTAGCTAGAGATTTCCAGATTAAAATCCATAACCTTTCTTCTCTGAGTTCCAAACCTATTATTTCTGACTACATAATGAAAAACACTTCCACTTTGGTATTCTACATCACCTCAAAAGGCACAAATATCCAAAACTACCTTAAATCTTTCCCAAACATTGCTTTTGCTCCTATAGGCCCTTTGTCTGTAAAATGACCCACTGTCCTTACGAATGCTTAAGCCAGAAACCTGCCTGTCTCTTCTCACCTCCCCATTTGCTTTATTTAATTGGTCCATAAGTCTTAAGTTTTCCACTTCCTACCATCTATCCAATCTGTTCCTCCTCTTCATTCTTACTGCAAAGCCTACCTGGTTTACCTGCACTGACTGCTCTCTTGTTAAATTAATCCTGAATATTGCCACCTCAATTGTTTTATCTAAATTACAACCTGATTTCACTCCACTAATCCAAAGATTTGTTGAGTCCCTATTATATATCATACAAATTCTCCAGTGGGGCATTGAAAGATGCTTTACAATTTTCTTCCACTTCTATAGAAAAAAATGTACTTCAATGAAAAACTATGTACTGTCAGACTGATCCTATGGGAGCTATTTAAAAAATCTATAAATTATAAATAATTGAGAGACAAGCAATTCTGTCTTGCCTGGCATAGATTCAATGGACTTCCTCCTCACTCTATAGAAAAAGATAGTTTTGCCTCCACTAACCATTTATTTCAACATTCCAATACTCCATAACAATTTGTACATTTTAAAATTTTTGATGTCTGGTCACTGAATGAGTTTAATAAAATCCTTAACACATGTTATATTTGTGTGAGTCATAGTTTTGTCTTTTTTTTTTTTTAAATCATCTTTTAATATTCCCTAAACACTATAAGCTATAAGCAAGCACAGTAACTTACAAGCATACTCTTTTATCCTCTTCTATGCAAACTATTCTACCTGTAAAAACTACCCTTTTGTTCTTAGCCTGGGAGACTTGATACAGCTTAAATTCCCTCTCATCCTAGGTCCTCTCCTACTTCTTCATAATTACGTTATTGCACTGTCTGTGTGGAGTTATATCATTTGTTCCTCTCTCTCAGATTCTTTTGAAAGCAGGAACTGGCTTGTGTCCCAAACACCTAAACAGGCACTGGATATGTGTGCTGAATGACAAGATATGCATGCTCAAAATAAAATGAAAGACTGTGGCCACTATAATAAAAGTCTGAATTTCTGATTTATAACACTTCATTTAGAATTATAGTAGTAGTGGCAACACTGTAAGAAGCTTTACCATACCAACATGAATATATCTGGGGCTAAACTGATAAACACACAGTAATCTAAATACTTACATAGTATGTTAACCTTATTTTTCCTTAAGCATTTTAATATGCATCTGAAATTATTACCCAGGAATATTCTTTTATTCTTAATACATATATTTCTAGGTTTTAAACTATAAGTAGAAAACAGAGACTAGCCACTCATGAAAATCTGTATTACCATGGAAAGAAGTAAATATTAATGAAAAATGGGTAACACTCTAGATACGATTTTGCAAGATACAGAATGCAAGAGAAAAAGTGGTTTGATGGGGGAATTGTGTTTCCCATTTTGCATGTGTGAGCAGATATTAAGAAATTAAGAAACATCTTTAGGTAGCTGAAAGTGTATCTAGTTCAGGAGTTAAAACAAAGCAGACACTTTTAGACAACACATCTCTCCCAAATTACATATGCAATTTACAGTTAGACTTATTGAAATGAGTTCTGGATCTCTGAAGTTGCAAGAAGTTCTAGAAAACAATGCTGTTGAGGTTTTGTTATGTTATTCTGTACTTTTTGGATACTTGATTTCCTTTTATACAATATTGTACTTATGCTACATGAACTAAGTCAGACACAAAAGGACAAATATTATATGATTCCAACTGTATGAGGTAACTAGAATATTAAAATTCCTATGGACAGAACATAGAAGAGTGGTTACCACTGGCTGGGGGAGAGCAGGAAATGGAGAGTTTCAGTTTGGGAAGATGAAAGGATCTGGAGATGGATAGTGGTAACAGTTGTATGACAACGTGAATGTACTTAATGGCACTGAATTTTGCACTTAAAAATGGTTAAAATGGCAAATTTTATGTTATGTCTATTTCATCACAATAAAAAAATGTTTAAAAAGGCATTAAAATATAACTGTTAAAATCAAAAGGTACGGGGCTTCAATAAATATTCTATCCTAATTACCGGTCAGAATAACTTAAGGTATAACATATGCACATCCACATATTTAGAAATTTTTTGGTGTATATTTTTGAATAGGTATACATGCAAATGATTAAAATGTTTCAAACTAAAAAAAAGGGTATCCAATGAAAAGCATTTTCCTGCCCACTTGTGACTCCAGTTAATCTCGAGAACTAACCACTACTAGTTTTCTTTCACGTGTACATACATCCCTTTTTCAACATTATTGAGGTATAATTTACAAATAATGCAATGCAAATATTAAGCTTATAGTTCATTATTTTGAAAAATAATGTAACTACCACCATAGTCAACGTATACAACATTTCTATTTCCACAACAAGTTCCCTGTGACCCTAAACATGCCCAACAACCATGGAACTGCTTTCTCTAAATATAGTCTTTCCTACTTTTATACAAAAAGAAATCATACAGTTTGTAATCTTTTATATCTGATTTCCTTCAGCATAATTTTTCCAAGATTTATGTATTATGTTCAGTATATCAGTACTTCATTGGTTTCTATTACTGAAAAGTATTTCATTGTATGAATATATCATAGTTCATCCAGTCACATAAATTCCTTTTTTGAACCAAAACATCAACACATAATATATGCTGATTTGTTTTGCATTGTTTTTTTAAGGTGAACTTTTTTCATTTGAAACAATCTTAAACTTACAGTAAATGATGCAAGCATAGTCAATACTGAGTCACCCTCAAATATGTTGAGAATGCTGCTGCTACAGACATACTCATATATTCATAATATTACAATCAGAATTAGGAAACTAACATTGACTGATTACTATCATCTAATTTTCAGATCTCATTCAAGTTCTACAAACTATTCCAATAATATTCTTCACATCCACATTAGAATCATAGTTGCATTTAATTTAACTTCATTGTTTCTTAGTGACCTTCAATCTGGAGCATTATTTCAGTCTTTCCTTGGCTTCCATGACCTTGATAACTCTGAAGACTAACATGCCAGTAATTTTGTGAGTTTGTCTTATTTCTTCATGATTAGATTCAGAATATTAATTTTTGGACTATGACAGAAGTAATGTTATATTCCTCTCATTGCACCCTATCAGCAAAGCGATAATTTAACTCACTACTGGTAATGTTAACTTTGATCACTTGATTAAGTTGGTGTCTGACAGGGTTCTTCATTGTAGTCACTCATTTTCCCTTCGTAGTTAATAAATATTTGGGGACGGGCAAGGGAGGGAAAACCTAAACATGCCCATCATCATCACCAAATTCCATTAATGCATTTACTTACATTGGTATGTAATGACTTCTTCTATTCAATAGGTTATGATCTATAAGAATTATTTGCTTTAATGCTCCAGTTGTCCCCAACTTGGCCTGTGTGAATATTGCTTCCAGCTGTTTTCTGTGTACAATTTATATGTCCCTGTCATTCTTTGAACATTGACTAACCTTTGGCATGATGAGCTGTTTCAGGCTCATCTTATATCTTTCCCTGCCCTTGTCCTGGAATCACCAATTTCTCCAAGATGTGCTATTACTTCCTTTTATTTTTGTATTCTTTCCAGCCTTACTGAAGTATGATTCACAATAAAATTGTAAGATATTTAAAGTGTACAATCTGATGTGATGTATGTATAAATTGTGACAGGATTCCCCTCACTGAGATTATTTATATATACATCACCTGACATATTTTACTCCACTCCCCCACTTGGGTTTAAGTAGAACATTTAAGTTCTACTCTCATAGTAAATTTCAATTATACAATAATGTTCTCAAATACAGTCACCATGTTATACATTACATCTGCAGATCTTATTCATCCTATAGCTTTTA